AAAATAAATATAACATCGCTACATTGCAGATTTTCACTTATTACTGGGGTCTGGGACCTAACACCAGCAATAAACGAGGGACTACTGCACTGAAATTTCACAGAGTTTTCATTTCTAGATAAATTCTTTGAGTTTTAAGGTAATTGACTTTGACTAGTTCAAGTACTATAGTCCATATCCTTTCTGGCACCAAATACTCAAAAATCAGTTTTTAAACAAGCTCTGAAACAATTCAGACATGTCAGAGAGCATGTCTGATTAAAGATACTGAGTAAAAACATATTTCCATTCACTAAAGATATTTTCAGTGTCAGCAAACTGAAACATGATAATCAGAAAGTAGGTATAAAAACTGCATTCGGGTTTGCTGGTGCACATCAACTAAATGTGAAGGGGGTACATCTATACTAATTTTAAAAGCAGGGATTTCAATTTTTAGGGTAAAAATTACCACTTAAAAAAATCTCAAATGCAATAATAAAGACTTAAAAGTTTCAAAATTACAATAATAATGTTAAGATCATACACACAAGTTGCTTCAGCTAACTATGAGAAATGACACTGAATGGGTACAACTGATAAAACAAGTAAAAAATTATATTTTAATTAAATAAAAAGGAAAAGTGTAGAAACTTTAGGTTGCCTATAAAACAGTGATTAAGGTGTAACAAGGTGTGTGACGTTCAATCTTCACCCTGTAATAATATCTCCACTAACCAATGATGACAACTGAAGTACACACAAACCTTCTCAAGCCTCTCAAAGTACTCTCTGAGGAAGGCCATGGGCCGCTCCGGCCTGGAGGTGCACAGCTGGACAATGCAGTCCTTCAGCAGCTGCTGAATGTTGTGTTTCTGCACATACTGCTCACACTCCCTCAGGCTCCGCTCCTCTTCGCTGCTCGTACTTCCAGATGCCATGACGACAACCCTTCTCTGTGACCTGTAACCTTTGTGCTGGAGAGAGAGGGGGGCATGTTGTCATTTCATCACTGCATAACGTGAACGTGGCGAGTTAACTGAAAATTATACAAGTGTGTGTGTCTGTCTAGATGAGAGATGGACAGACAGAAAGCAGGAGAATGTGAGAAACATCAAGCCAGAGTGAGAAGGAGCAGGGAGATGGGGTGTTGTTTTTTCCACTATGGAGTGATAAAACAACAGTGCTCTTAAGAAGAGAAACTGGTCAGATGATGTGATACACACATATGTGATTCGAGAGACGACAGAAGCAGACACACACTCTGGTCTAGGTTTGTTTGTGCAAATAAAGCTTATTTACCTTCCCTACAAATCCCTTTAAATTGTGGGACACATGACACTAAAATTTAAGCAAATGGTGAAACAAGTGCCAGTAAATCAATGTGTTGTTAAACAGGCCATCAAGTGCACACATTTGTTTTCCAGTCCACGCGACAATCATGTTTCTGAACAAAACAGCCTGACAGATCCTTGATCAGCTGATTGCTCACAGAAGTGTCCTCCGTTAGTCTTGAGCTTCCTCTAGCAGTGTGGTCTAAATCAGGAAGCCCCTGAACTGTGGCAGTAATCAATGTGCTCATTTTAGAGGAATAAATGAGGGAACAAGTCCTGTGGAACAAACACAACAATCCATTTTAGGCCTGCAAGTGTAGTGTGCATCATGTGAAAGAGCAAAACAGGACCCAAATAATTCATAATCTAAAAAGGGCCAAAGGGGGTTACTGGTCATATCAAAGATGAGCGTGTCCTACACTTCATGCAACAATCTTCACTTGCTGTGGAAACTTGACAGGCTTATTTCAATCAAACATATTACTAAAACTAGCAAACGGTAGCTGATACTGTTTTCAAACTGGTATAAACTAAAAGCTACGAACACTCACTGTTAGGCCTTGTGTAATAAGCAAATCTAAATTGGTTGCAACCATTTCCAATGTCTGGAAATATAGCAAACATTTTAAATCGTTGACTCTGTTGCAAATGTGACAGATTTTCTTCTGGTGCCTTTCAGATAATGAACGTCAACTAGGAAAAAAATGGCTGTCATACACATTGACCTTGCTTAGAACTAAGAGGTTAGATAATGATACACATCAAGTGAACAACAAACGTAAGAAATATAATCGCCTTTAGAGGGTGTCTGAAGCAAATGCCCCGTGTCTGTAGCACAGTCTAGGTCAGGAAGGCTTCACGACGGCTGGAGAAGTTTCTTAGCAGATTATATACGAACAACTCTAAATTATAACCACTGAAAACATGACTAAAAATTATTCATGAAAGTCGTTTATTATAGCTTAACTATTTTTAGCCTGAGTTGTACGCGAACAACTGCGTTTGGTTTAATGCCTGTCTGGCCTGCTCTGTGTGCAAAGGCAAAGCTCTTCTCCAATGACGCCATCTTGAGTTCTATCATAAACAAACGAGAAACGCAGAAAACAAGTCGTCGTACAGGGTCGTGGGTTCCACGAGCTAGAACAAGACAAATACTCACAAGAAACTGTAAAATCCTACCGAGCCTTTCGATAGAGACTCGGGGTATATGATATTTCAAAAGCGCACCGTTACCAGATCCTCCTCCTCGCTTCGATTTTTTTTTCCTAGCCCTGGACCGCTGCCCCACCGGATACGGCTGAGAACCAATCAACAACAGCCACTGACGTCAATCCTCCCCGTTCTGACATGTGAGCCCGTAACCCATGGCAACCTTAAAGGGGACGGCACGGAAATCGTGACGTCAAGGAAATGGTTAAATGAACTTACTGTAAAGCGATTCATATCTGATTTTGAAAGTACTAACAGCATCAACAGTTTGTTGCGTTGTTGTTTAAGGTTGGAAAGCCAAGAAGTTAAAAAGCTCAAACGCTGGTCACTCAAAAAATAAAAACTTTCACATCACTAATAAGAAAATACTTATTTTTTCTGTGAATCCTGCAGATTTAGGCTACTTAAACTGTAAATTTAAGTTATTATGTTATTTGTCATATGCAGGTCAACAATGCAATGAAATGTTCAGGATGAAAAGAACCAATTAGACTCACAAAAAAAAAAAAAAGAAATACTGAAGCATGCAATAAGACTACAAAATAAAGTACCAAAAAGTGACAAAGAAATATAATATTTATTAGGTCCAAAAGAAATATAGTACACAACAACATGGTAGAACATAAAGGTGCAAGTAGAATGAATTTTTTATAAATAAGTATTTTGCAGGTATAGAAGCTTAAATGCACATGATATATATTGCACATGATTAACATATACTACACAGGTTGTGTGACATATTATTGCACAGGTAGTGAGCAACACTGAGATTAATTTAATTATGATGGTAAGGTAGTGACATACATGATACAGCCACATAGTGCAGCAGCACATAAACATATTAGTTGTCACAGATGTGGCTTAGTGCAATGTTATTGCCAGTTGTTCTGTATTATTGACAAGAGTTTAGTAATCTGGCAGGTTGTGGATAATAGCTGTCTGAGTTTTTCCGTGTGCAATGGCAGACTCCTGTATCGTCTGCCTGAGGGTAGTAGATGGAAGAGTTCTTGTGCAGGGTGGGTGTGGTCCTTAATGATGCTGCAAGCTTTACGCAGACATCAGCTGTGGTAGATGTCCTGGATGGTGTGGAGACTGCTACCAGTGATGTCCTCTGCTGTTTGCACCACCCTCTGTAGAGCTTTCCAGCTCTGACTGGTGCAGTTCATGTACCACCCTGTGATGCAGCCTGTCAGCAGGCTCTCAATGGTGCACCTATACAAGGTCGTGAGGATGCTGGTGTTCATATCAAACTTCTTTAGTCTTATTAGCAAGTAGAGTTTTAAATTATTAAACTTAAATTATTAAACAACAACAACAACATGAAAATGTTATATGTATGTAAATTATGCATTTAATTATAGAAGAAGCTTTGTTTAGCGCACAATGTCCAAGACAAATTTCCCTTTGGGGACAAATACATCTATCTATCTATCTATTTATGAAATTGGAGAAACTGCACTTTCGTGGATGCTTTGTGCTAAATAACTTGAAAATTGCAGAAGCTTAAAACTAATTTAAAACAAAACACTACCAGTAGCTAAAAGCAAAAAGTAGTAAAATGCTAACTTAAAAGTATAAAGACTTGCTGAAAGCTAAAAGTAGCAAAAAAATAGCTAAAAGTTGAAATTTGTGAAAGGCTTGCAAATCAGAATAAGCTTTATTATCATTGTACCTGGATACAGTGCGATTATGTTCAAATTGTTTGAAAGATGGGCCGAGTGCACGTTGCTGCTGCTAAAAAGCACAGACCCTTATTTTTTATCAGAATACTTTTAGAAAGAAAAAGGGTAAGAACCATAAGGATAGATAGTGGTATTAGAAAAAGATCTCTTCACACTCTTTAAAAAGTTAACTGTAACATAATAGTGATTAAACTTAGCATTGTTAAAAGCCAAAATTAGCAAGAAGTCAAAAATAGAATCAATATGCAGAAGCTGATAGAGCAATGCTTGAAATACTTAATGACTCCTGATAGATTGTAAATGGACCTACCAATGGAACAATTCAAGACCACAGGTTGTGTCTCTGAAAAGCAACAAATATATATATAAAAAAACCTAAAGTAATTGAAATAAGAACCGAAGAAGTAAGAAAAAAAGACATAAATAAATATCCTCACCAAAACAATATACAGTAGACATATATGCGAATAAATGAACATAAAAGTGATAATTATAAAGAGATTAAAATTCACTGTAAAAGAAAGACAGTAAGGCTCTGAAATTACAAAAGTTTTTATGAAACTTTATCAGATGCAAAATTTTATTGTATATATTGTACAGGACACACAACAAAGAGGCACATAAATAAAAAAGCTCTACTATAAAACAATTCAAACCACTTGATAAGAAAAGAATGATTAACTCTTATACACCTTTGAGTTGTTCATGAGGAGAACGATATATTGTTTGCAACTTATATTGTTAATTAAATGTAAACAACCATAAAAAATTGTAATTATTGAGAAAGGGGCAGGTCTATACAAGATTTTTCTTCTTCGTGCTCACTCATCACTCATGTGTACTGTCTTGTAGAGCAGTAAGAGAATGTGTTTATAAATTGATATAATAATAATAATAATATTTATAAATGTTGAAGTGAGTAATACTGTCGCAAAATTGTCCAGGTAAAGAAGAGATACCAAATTATAGAAATGTACCTAACTAGAGCGGAAAATAAATCCGTGTGTTGCACAGAAGACAACTAAGAAATAGAGTATACAACAGTGTGAGCATTTTTTTTAAATCCACAGGACAAAAGTGCATTCACTTTTTTTTTATTATTAATATTACTAATGTACAAAAATTCAGGCACCACTCCCCAAATAGATTTAGTTGTCTTTGTTGTCCATTGTTGTCATCACTCTTTGTTAAAATCAGGTCTCTCTTGTAAATGAGTCCCCGGGACCCAATGGGACTAACCTGTGCAAATAAAGGTTAAAAAAAAATTCCTTGTGACAAGACTGAAAGCACAGTTTTTTTTATTATTACTTTATTGAACAATTGAACATACAGAAAAAAATGAACACACTAACAAACTAACAAATGACTATCTCAAATTCCAATGATACATATAAACGTAAAAATATATACTGTTATACCTACTAAGTTTAATATACTCTTAAACGAATTATAATAACAATCATTGTAAAATTAAAGTTAGGTAATATTATTATCAAAGAGATTGCAAATAATATGATACAAGTAAATTCTAAAACACAGAACTATATATCTAACATACTTTTGTTTGTTTTTTGAAAAAGTACAAAACAATACAGATAAGATACCAATAAGAGGTTTTTGATTAGTGTATCAACATTTATGAATAAGCCATTTGGCTAGGTATATAATAAGATTAATAATATAGAACTGTTTTTCTTTAGCTGTTGGGTAGTCAGTGAAGCCAAACAAAACATGATCAAAGCAAAGTAAAAGATCTGGTTCTGTAAAAGTATAAATCAAAATACAAATACTTTTACAAAACTGAGTAGAGAAGGGGCAAGACCAAAATAAATGAAATACATCTTCTCGGCTTTCATCACAAAAAGAGCAAATTATATTTATATCCTTGTTAAACCGTTGTAAATAGATATCTAACACACTAAATTACTTAAATAATTTGTCAGAGCGAGGTGATCGACTAAAAGCACAGTTAACCAATCAGGACCCGAGATCTTTTTGTGTAGGCGGGACTTATTTGTTATTTAGTCATTTTGACCAATCAAATATGAGCTTTACAAAGCTTGGCCAATAGAAATGCATGAAACAAGGCCGAAGCGTTACCGTTAGCCAATCGCTATGCACGTAAGAATGACGCATCCTCCCATCAGCTGTTTTTGTTTTGCTGTGCGAATGTTGGAAGTTAATAACACGATAATGACGAGAGTCCACTGAGTGAAGCAAAACAGCTCCCAAAGATTGGGCTAGCTGTGTTTTGTTTAGGTTTCGAGGCTAGCTAGCTGTTAGCATATGTGTGTGAGTGTCAGCCAGCCCGGACATTCCTCCCGCTGAGTGCGAGCGTGGCGTTTGGAGGAGTCGGCGGTGGGGGGAAAGGAGAAGGAGGAGGAGAAACGGGCTCCGTCAGGGGGTATCGACCCGAACCGCAGGCCTCCGACCTCGGACAGAGAGAGGACAGGGATTCGGGCGGTTCGGATGGAGTCCCAGGATGTATCGGGGGACCCTGGAGGGCAGCGAGGCTTCATATGCGCCTCGTTCAACCAGGACACCACGTAAGCGACCTGCGGGCGGGTGGGGGCCCACACTAGTGAACTCTTTTTTTATTTTAATTATTTTTTTTAATGAACTGTTGCATAACAATGTTTATCCGTATTTACAAGCGTTAATGTGGCTTTTGCGCCGCAGAGTAGAAATCACAAGCTTTTGGACGGAACATTAAAATTTCCAGATGAGCTGGATCTGAATTAGGCCACTGGTAATCTTCAGGCCCTGTTGCACACCAGTTCCACTTCTTGTACAGCTGTTGAATAAATCACAGCACGTACACATTTATAAACTCTATGCCCCTCCAAAATGAACTTCTTTAGATAAGATGACGTATTTTCAACTCCATCTATAATAAGTTACACAACTTTTTTATTTTTTTTTTTAAAGAGGAATGAAACGATTTTAGGTTTAGTTGTTACCTGAACAAGATGTGAAACCTGAAAAACCATGTCTCATATCCGTGTTAACAAAAAAAAAAAAAAATAATCAGAGATACTGTGTAAACATACATTTTGTTGACATTGGATTTAAAAGAAATATCAATAAAACAAACTTTTTATAGCCCAGTTGTATTTTCCACGTTTTACAATCTCTGGATGTGAACTGTAAATTATAATAACCAGGCTCTTTATCATAATGACTGTGCGTCTGTGATGATAAGAAGTGCTTCCTCTTTGTGTGTTTTTGTCCCAGTTCTCTGTCTGTGGGCACAAAGACAGGCTACCGGCTCTTCTCTCTCACAGCTGTGGACAAGCTGGACTGCATCCATGAGGGAGGTACTGTTCCTTCATGATCTCTACTCATGGTCACATCGCAGCTCCTGCAGAACTGCACCCTCAGTGCTGAGTCTTCCTGTTTTTGCCTAATAATAATAAATAAAAAAATTAGTCATGCAAACCGCTGCTAAGTCATGAGATATCTGCATATATGCTGGCCAAGTGCAAGCAGTGCTTTCTGACTTTCACTCAGGTTCCTGTTAATCTTACAGTGACAATAAGCACGCTGAACAATCGACTAATCCTTATAAAAGATATAAGTCATTCAGCACAGGAATGTTCTTGTATGGTCGTTGTGCTTTTGTTTGTCTTTTTAAAAGTGGAGTGGCACAAACGCGGTTGCAGAAAACCCACGTCTGTTGTACCCACGTGCATGTTTGTTCTGCTTCCCAGTGGAGTGCCCTAACGTCTATATAGTGGAGCGGTTGTTCTCCAGCAGCCTGGTGGTGGTGGTCAGTCTTTCCATGCCCCGACGAATGAACGTCTACCACTTTAAGAAGGGAACAGAGATTTGTAACTACAGCTACTCCAACAACATCCTCTCCGTCAAGCTCAACAGACAGGTGATGCAACTGATCGCTACCGTGTCGTTGATTCAGCGTGTCGTGCTTCACGTCACTTTTTCGTTTGAACATCAGCGGCTTGTGGTGTGCCTGGAGGAGTCGATCTACATACACAATATCAGAGATATGAAGCTTCTCAAGACCCTGCTGAACACGCCCGTCAACCCCTCAGGTACACAAGGGAGAAAGCTGTCTCGTGTACAGCTCTTAACCAAACGGGTCACACCCCACTCTGGATGGTTTTAAGTTTCTGAACGCTTAACTTGGATTTTTGAACTGATCAAAAGTGCATTTGAGTTTATTATAACATAAAAAGCACTTTAAGTTGTTGTTTTTTGAAGCTAAGTTTTGCATTTACGTACCTAAAACAATAGTTTGGATGTTTTGCAGTTGGATTCTGTGGAGCGGTTATGAACAGTGAATATCTTACCTGTCGTAGACAGTTCTTCAAACATCCGTTTCAAGACAGGGTTTAATTAATTCTAACTGAATGGATGAGCTGACAGCTAGTCCAAATGCTGCTGCCTTAAAACAACTCCCAACTCAAACATTTTATAGCAGTTTACTGATGTCAGTTTTGAATTTCACAGTTATTTACTTAAGATTCTGTGGTTGTTTGGAAGCGCAGGTAGTGGTAGCCCTTCCAGTTCAGCCTGGGGGCACTTATAGCAGAAATGTCTGTCAAAGTAACTGTTTTGTGAAGGTCGTTAAAAGGTCAAAATAAAATATTTTAACTACCTTTGTGGAATTGGGAAGATTAGAGTTGTGCAGCAGAGATTGTCGGACCGTGTCGACGAGCTAATAAAAGCTAGTCCAAGCAGACCCATTTTTAAAGTGGATCACTGATGTCCTAAAACAACTCCACCCTTTAAAATCCCATCGCAGTTTTGCAAACATTACTGAAACCTTTGCGTTTCTGTCTGTTTTGTATTTCAGTGATTATGGCATACATTTTGTCATTTTTCTTCAGGAAAGCGTTACATTCACTGCTATTGCTGCTGTTTGCGTTTGCAAGAAACCATAAAACTGAACGTAAATCAAGTTAAATTAGCAGCAGTGCAACGGTCTACGAAATGATGCTCACACAAACTACTTTGGATCTTGGGAGAACTGAGTTGTTTAAAGTCTTGTAGGTCATCAGTCCCATCAGAGTGAAACTTCTTGAAACTAAGGTTATTCAAAGAGCTATCTATAACAATTTAGATATTAATTGTTTATAACTTTTCCACAGAACCCCACCCAGTTTTCATAGATTACTCAAAGCCTGTTACTTCTTCTCTCAGAGGCTGTTTCTCTTAGGATGTTGTTCAAAATGTTAAATAACTACTCAAATAGCCCAATCATAAAGATTAATTATTTGTGGCTGCCTAATTTATATAATGTTAAAGTAATGTTTAGTGTCCTGTTTTAGTTATTGCTACATAGAGAAAAAAATTGGTAGATTTTTGAGGAAAAGTAACTGTAATACGAGGGTGACAGTGTTTTTAGTCAGTCTGAGCCTTATTTAGAGTATTTTTAGAAATGAACATTTCTCTGCTTTGATTTTTATTTTTATTTTTTTGAATAAAAGATTTTGATTTTCACAGTTTGATTTGGATAATAGTGGCTCAGTTGGTAAAGTTGTTGCCTCTCAACAAGAAGGTCGCTGGATCGAATCCCGACCGAGGGCCTTTCTGGGTGGAGTTTGCATGTTCTCTCTGTGCATGTGTGGGTTTTCTCCGGTTACTCCGGTTTCCTCCCACAGACCAAAAACATGCATGTTAGGCTGATTGGTAACTCTAAATTGTCCTTAGGTGTGAGTGAGAGTGAATGGTTGTTTGTCTATATGTGTCCCTGTAGACCTGTCCAGGGTATACTCCACCTCTTGCACAGTGATAGCTGGATTTGAGCACCAGTGACTCCCGTGACCCAAAAAGGAAGAAGCTGGTAAAGATATTTCATGGATGGATAACAAGAACTGTTTCATTCAGTACATGCAGACTGATCAGATCAGGGCAGTGTCAGCTGAAAAGATGCTAATGATCAAATTGATCCAATGGATGCAAACCTTTTAAGTGAGCCTCTGTGTATCCTTGTAGGTCTGTGTGCGCTGTCCATCAATCATGGTAACTCGTACCTGGCGTACCCCGGCAACTCCTCCATTGGCGAGATCACGGTCTATGACGCTAATAATTTGGTGAGGCTGAGTGAATTTCTGTGAGCACAGGCAAAGTTATGTTGAAAAGTAATCCTGTGTTTCTGCAGATGTGATTAGAAAGCTCTTCTTCTTCCGTTTAGAGCACAGTGACACTCATCCAGGCCCACGACAGTCCGCTGGCGGCTCTCACATTTAACGCCTCTGGCTCCAAACTGGCCAGTGCATCTGAGAAGGTGAGAACAGGATTCCTTTTAATCCAAGTTTTGACTGATCAGTTTGTCTGACCTTCTGCTTTTCATCAGGGCACTGTAATCAGAGTTTTCAGTGTTCCTGAGGGCCAAAAGTTATTTGAATTCCGGCGAGGGATGAAAAGGTTAGGATTCATTTCTCCTGTCGTGATTTTAAAATATGGCTAAAATTAGGCCTGTCACGATAACAAATTTTGCTGGCCGATTAATCGTCTCTGAAATTATTGCGATAAATGATAATATTGTTTGAAATTTGACAGTAATTAGTAATTATTGTCAAATTTAAGAAGAAATTTTGGTTAATTTGTTTTGTGTGTAGTACCTTTTTTCGACCACTGGATGGCAGCATAAGACTGTTTGAACTGAAGTATGGATAGTGAGGGAGCGAGCAGCGTGTCTCTTTAATTAAAAATGGGAGGGAGGCCCCTTGACGTGACATGGGCTGTCTCTCTTTACTTTTTTCAGTTCTCAAAATGGCAGACGCTCGGTGTGGTTTGAGCTTTTTAGCATAGCATTTTTCACACAAAGCTTTTAATGAAAAAATCAGTAAAGTTCTCAGCTTCTTTTGCAGAGAAAAACAACTTTTACACAAAGGCACGGATTTGAACCGTGAAGTTTGGAGTTCACCAAGATGGAAGTTTTTTCCTCGAGGTCAGCCTGTTAGCTTAGCTCGTAGCTTAGCTTCTCAGCTTAGCTGCTTTTAACGATCCAAAAACACAATATTGGACGTTTACAACAGATTTTAAAAAGAAAAGAGAAAGGGAGGGGTCAGTGAAGAGCACCGGAGTTGATCTTGTTGTCATCCAGTGTCTTCAGTAGAAAGAGAGAGACATGAAGAAATGATAAATAATTTTCATTTATCATGCGATTAATTGATTTATTGTTTATTGCGACAGGCCTAGCTAAAATATTTGTATATATTTGTTACATCAACCTTTAAAAACAAGAGAAACTTGTACTTACATTGAGTATTACACTTCCTTTTTGCTGAAATCAGATTGACTCCTAACATTTGTGTGTTTCAGGTATGTTAGCATCAGTTCGCTGTCCTTCAGTGCCGACGCTCAGTTTCTGTGTGCCTCCAGCAACACAGAGACTGTTCACATCTTTAAACTGGAACAGCATAGCCCCAGGTAAACACTCACACGGGTCATTTTCATCCTACCTTTAAGTCCAAGTATGCTGCTTTTACACTTTAAAGGTTGTAATGTCACTGAGCGGCAGCTGTTGAAGACTAGATTACAAGAAAATAGGTGAATTTTCAGTTGCAGTCTGACTGAATTGAATTTTCAGCCAGCAAGAATTGTGGCCATGTTTTGAAAATCCTTGCTCATTTTCATGTGTGCAGCTTGCGTATCTGTACCGGTACTTTAGGTTGTGCACATTACAGGTGCAATGGGTTAAATGCAGAGAGCCAATTTCGTCTTTGTATGGGAACATACAATGATGACAACACAGTACTTTTATTACTTTGCTGCGCCCTTTCACTGACATTGTACCCGCCATGGCTTGCTTTGTGCCTTCTTCAGCAGCCTGCCTCATGTTTCTGATTTAATCTACTGGAGTACACTTCTGAAGTAAAAACAGATCTGAACCGGTTTTTGATAATACATTATTTATTGACCATTAACATGTTCTTTGTTTGAACCTGGACATTCAGTGCTGTAGCCTTGGATGTGTTCTGTCACACGAGTGCTCCCATACAGGCGTCAAACTACAGTGCTTTAGAATTTATAGAAACTAAACTGAGAAGGGTTTAAGAGGCCCACAACAAAATTGAGAGGCATTTGAAATGGGTTTGAGACACCTGAAACAAAATTGAGAAGAGTCTGAGCCACCTGTGACAAAATTGAGGAAGGTTTAAGATGAGTCTGAGTATCTTGTGACAAAGTTGAGACGGGTTTTTAACGGGTCCAAGATGTCTGTAACAAAATTGAGAAGGGTTTGAGACAACCACAACGAAACAACAAAGATTTGAGACATCAAAGTTCATGCTCAGTCATCCAGGTACAAAATCCAGTAATGGTCAATCAGGTCATCTGGACAGTTTCTTTTTTGTGGAAAGATATTTCGCCCTCTATCCGGAGGGCTTCCTCAGATTGATGAAGTCCTCCGGATAGAGGGCGAAACAACTTTCCACAAAAAAAAAGAAACTGTCCATATGACCTGATTGACCATTACTGGGTCACAACACTATTTAGAAAAGTCTAAATCTTTTTAAAATTCAAGTGACAAGACTGCATGCTTCTGCGACAGATGCAACCAAATTGTGAACATTTCACAAATTCACTTATGTTCCTAATAAGTTAGTAAAAATTAGGGGTGTACCGATTGCAGTTTTCTGGCCGATCACCGATTTCTAAAAAGTCTGAGCTGCTGATTCCACTTTTGGCCGATACTGATTTTGTTTTATAAGCGACACTGTTAGGAGTTATAAGGTCACAATGCACCTTTCATTTTCAATTGTACTTTATTGAAAAACATACACTTGAACAATATCCTAGAAATAATACAAACTTGTTTTAACTGGCCATGAGGTAGTGCTCTGAAATATAAATCAAGTTCAGACAATTGTTAAAACAAACAAAAAATGTTGGTAAAATCGGTTTCTCATGCAAGTATCGGCCAATTTCCGATTTCCCAAAATTAAGGAAACCGGGGCCGATAAATCGGTGCACCCCTTGTAAAAACTTGTGTTGTGTAAAAAATATTTTACCTTTTTGATAAACGTCTATACGAGCGGTCAGTTGACAGGACTTGTTGACATGATTTACTCCAGGAATATCCCATGATGTTAGCAGAGAAGACAATTATTTGTTTAAAGTAAACTCATCCAGGTATTTGACGTGTTTGCTTATTGCAGCACTGCTTTGGCGTCAAGTGCTGCAAAAACCTACAAGGTTTGCTAGAATTAGGCTCGTAAGTCAAGCTTAAGCTCAAAAGATCAGCCTGTTGTAGAGAAAGGACTTATTCAAAACATCAAAGTTCATCCAGGTAAAAAGTCCTACAAAGTTCAATCAGGTCATTTGGACAGTTTCAATATTTTATTTATTTTTTTAGATGTTTCATCCAGAGGACTTCATCAGTCCGAGGAGCCACAAACAAACTTAGTCCCACAAGCAGCACATTCCCTTAGTGGACCAACCAGTTTGTTGATGATAAGATGATTTCTGGGGCTCGATCTCTCCCCCGTCTCAAACTTTATCAAAACTTCATCATCAACTTCATCAAAACTTTGTTTTGAACCACTTTGGCTATGGCTGCCTCAGAGGAGTTGATGGGGGAGAGGGCAGGCCCCAGAAACCTTCTTATCACCATCAAACTGGTTGGTCCACTGTGAGTGTGCTGCTTGTGGGACTGAGTTTGTTTGTGGCTCCTCGGACTGATGAAGTCCTTTGGATGAAGGACAAAACGTCTCGACAACAACAACACAAAAAATGGTCCAGATGACCTGACTGAACTTTGTTGGAGAGATGATTTTATTTCCTGTTTGACCACTCCTTTGACTCCTTACATAAATTCAGGTCTTCTGACGTCTTCTGTTACAAATAAAGTCCTAGTTGTTTTTGCCTTGAACGTTTTTGGATAAATTCAGGTCTTGCAAATAAAAAAAATGATCACTCCTTGAAGGACTTTGTATTTTCTTTTTTCCCTTTCATGCCAGATTTTTAGATTGGGATCATCTTTTAAGAAACGCTCAAATTATCATCATTGTGGTCATATCTAACGTCAATAAGATATGAAATGAACAACTGTTGGAATGACTATCAAATACACACCAAATTTTAGCTCAGTATCTATAAAATTGAGTAAATTAATTGAATTATTACCATTTTTATGTTGGTTAAGGTTGAGCTGTGGCAGCCATTTTTAATTAGATTGACTCCAAAAGTTAATCTGTTGCAGATATGCATTCATCGTTTACTTTGCTTAATCAAAATCCAGTCTGTGATTCATGGGATATTTTGCTAACAAATAGACAAATGAATACAGGTACATTATCTGTGGCAAGCAATGACAAACTGGTATCATCCAGCATTTTAGTCACATTTTGATCCAATGATTCTAGATATACTGCATTTGTACAGTTTGTTAGTTGTCAACGTATTTATTGCATTGTGCTTGATTGGCTAAAACAACAAATTCTCACAAGCTCTTCTTTACCCACACAAAATCACTTCAGCAGAGAAGTTGCTCACTTAAACTTATCTAGTTAGGAATGATTTAATCATGGTAATTGTCATATTTACATGTTTAACCACAGCAATTCTTGTTTCCCTCCAGTCAAGACGAGCAGTCGCCTACGTGGTCGGCATACGTGGGTAAAATGTTCACGGCTGCCAGCACTTACTTACCCACCCACGTGTCCGACATGATGCACCAGGACAGAGCGTTTGCAACTGTGCGACTCAACATGATTGGCTTGAAGAACATTTGCGCCCTGGCTACGTAAGAAATCAGCAGGACGGTTGATTTAAGTAAAGTGGACTGGTGCAGTTTTTGTTCTCATCTCGTACGTGATTTTTCTGTCAGGATTCAGAAGCTTTCTCGCCTGCTGGTTGCATCCTCAGAGGGCTTTCTTTACATCTATAATGTGGATCCCCAGGATGGAGGCGAGTGTGTCCTTGTTCAAAAACACAGGTGTGTGTGTGCATGTGTTCAAATTTACACCAAAAACTGCTCATTTTAGAATAACAGCTTTAAGCGTTTTAATTAAAATATGTTGAAAATACAAGTTCCAAAAAAAGTTCAGACTGTTATATAAAATGTAAATACAAATAAATTTAATTGGTTATCGTAACTGCATATTTGATTTAGAACATAATAAATACTGTATATCAAAAGCTTAAACTAGGAAATTGCTCCATTTTCTGAAAATAAAGGGTAATTTTTTTATATTATAGCAACAACACAAATTATTTGGAAAGGGACAACAAAAATCTGTAAAAGTAGGACAAACAGCTTGAGGAACAGTTTGCAACTCATTTAGATTCAGTCAACCTTTATTTATACAGGTTAGTCTCATTGAGCCACGAGGACTCATTTACAAAAGACCTGTTTTAAACAAAAACCATAAATGAGGTACACACGACAATAAACATTCATATGAAAGCATATAGAATGAAAAGCATATAACAGAAGTGATATAAAATAAAACAAGCTACATTATAAAACAGTGTAAAATACTAAAAACGGGAACAGGTCTGCATTGATTTATGCATTGAACTTAATTGTTTAAAATCCCTTAGAGAGGTCAAAGGCGAGAGCTTCATATCTTTTTGCAAAGTGTTCTAGGAAACAAGAGCGGAATTTTTTTTGCCAAATTCGGTCAGCACTGAGGGGACACTGCAGATAATGATGTCTTGGGAACGCACGCTGTAGCTGCACTGACAACGTGACATGTAGGAGGAGATATGTGAAGGCAACAGACCAAGGAGTGATTTAAAGATGAAAATGTACCAGTGGGAGAGTCTGCATGAAGTTAATGATGACCAGTGAATACAGGGTGTAATGGTGGGTACGGTAGTTACAGCCAGTTATGAATCTTAAAGCACCATGATAGACAGTGTCCAACATCTGCAGGGTGCTTGCAGGAGCATTCATGTAAATAATGTCACCATAACCTGTGATTGGTAGGAAAGTAGCAGTTACAAAGTGTTTCCTAGCGTTCAGAGTTAAACAGGATCTAGTTCTAAAAAAGAAACCCAGTTTAACTTTCAGTTTCTTTACCAAGTTTTCAATATGAGGCTTAAAGGAGAGATGCAAATTGACCAAGGTACCCAAGTATTTATAAGAATCGACAAACTCAATAGGAACACCAGTCATAGATAAGATAGAAGGAAGGACTGCTGGTACCGACTTCCTGTTTGAAAACAACATCCCTTTGGTTTAATCAACATTTAGCACCAGTTTGAGACGGAACAAATCTGACTGGATGATGATGAATGCAGACTGTAAAAGCTGGAAAACATTAACAACTGTTCTAGCTCGACAATAAACAACTGTGTCAGCATATAAATGTGAGGATGTGTCAGGAATGGTGGGACCTAAGACTGAGCCTTGTGGCACATCATTATTGACAGTTAAATAGCTGGAAGAAGTACCATTATGTTGAACACATTGCCTTTGATCTGAAAGGTAATTAGAGAACCAGCTGATAGTGTGATCTGAGAAACCACTGTCTGAGAGCTTATGGCATAAGTTGTCATGGTCCACAGTGTCAAAAGTTTTAGACAGGTCTAAATAGAGTACAACACATTAGTCCTTAGCATCCAATGCTTCAACAACATCATTAAAATCCTTCAACGAAGCCGTCATTGTGCTGTGTTGTTTACTGAAACTTGATTGAGGTAAAACGTCAGCTCGGTGAGAGAACTGGTTATAAAAATAAATTTTAGAGAGACTGGATTTCTCAGAAGAAACAATGGGCTGAGGTTCACCAGTGTGCCACAAACAGCCTAAGATTAGTGGAACACTTTCAGAATATCTCATCATCTTCAGTTTAGGATACCGTCAAAAGGTTTCAAGAATCTGGAGAAATCTGTGATCAAATAAAAAGACTGAAAGTCCATATTGGATCTTGATCTTTGGGCCCTCAGAGGCCGCTGCAACAAAACCAGGTCTGATTCTGTTCTGGACATCACTGCAGGAACACTTCCACAAGTTATTGTCTGTAAACAGTTCACTGTGTCATCCACAAATCAAATCTTTCTTGCAAAGAAGCCATATGTGAATATTATCTTCTCTGAGCCAAAGCTCATTTAAAATGGACTGAGCAAGTGGAAAATCGTTTTATGGTCTGAAAATATGGGGAAAAAATAAATAAACATTTTTAAACTACAGATGCCATGGTTACATACCACAGAGGAGCGGGAACATTAGCCTGTTATCAGCGCACAGTTTAAAAGCCTGCCTCTCTGATAGTCTAGGGGTGCATTAGTGCTTATTGCATGGGCAGCTTACACATCTGGAAAGGCACCATCAATGCAGAAAAGAATACAAGATTTAGATTATAATATGCTTTCATCCAAATGAAATCTTTTCCATGGAAAGCCTTGCACGTTTCAGTAGAACTATGCCAAACCGCAAACTGCATCCATTACATCAGCATGGCTCCGTAGTAGAAGAGTCCAGATGCTGAACCGTCCTGCCTGCAGTCCAGACCTCTCACCAATTTAAAACATGTTAAGAAGAGAAAAAAAATCCAGCGAAGAAGACCAGTTAGAACTTGAATCAGACATCAGATAAAAATTAGACATTCCCCTCCAAATACTCCAGCAGCTGGTCTCCTCAGTTCCTAGATGTTTACAGAAAAAAAAGGGGATGCTTCACGGTAAGAAACATGACCCTGTCCCAAGTTTTCATACATGTGCTTCTGCCTTTAAATCAAAATATTGTATATTTTACATGATGTCCCAACATTTTCAGAATCGGGATTGTAAATAGTTGTATTTTCTTCCCTGTAGATTTCAACTATGCAAGAATCCAGTTTGTTGCAGTTCTGAATTACTTGATTTTAAACTTTGTGTAAACATTTTAAAAGTGTTTTGAGCATTTCTGCTTCTGTTCCTACAGACTCTTTGACTCTACAGAGGAGCAGGAAGATGAGAAGGTAGAGGAGAACCAAGAAGATGCACCTCCACAACCAGCCAGCCAATCATATGCTGCCACTGTGGCTCTCCCTTCAACCCCGCCCTCCTCCACCACGCTCATGGGTAATGAATACATTTGCATTATGCGTTTCAATTTAATCTGCACTGAATGTAAAGGTAGTGTACTTTTAAAACCATTATACTGTATTCTTAATGTTTAATTTTTATAGATTAACTAATAGTGCTGACTTTTTGAGGTGAGTAATTTTAGTTTTATCAATGTTATAAAAACCTTTTGTCACCATTCAGGTCCTTATGTGTTGCAAGAAAAATAATAAACAGGTGCAGTTTACTGAAATATGCAAACATACATGAAAAGTACAACATAAAGCCACTGACTAGTTCGTGCAGTTCAGAGTTCGAGACTCACTCTTGTTCTCTCCTGACCTCTTCTGCAGACATGGACAATGATTTAAACCAAAAATCCTTTAAAAAGTGTGTTGTCTTTGATCTTTACGTGTCCATTTCAATCAACCTTTATTTATACAGGTAAATCCCATTGAGCCTCGAGGACTCATTTACAAGAGAGACCTGAAAATTTATTTTCTTTTAATTTCTTGTGTGCTTTAACATATTAAGCCATTTTCAGTCACCTTTACAAATCCAAGGGACTCAAGAAAGATGTTTAGGAATAGTAAATGCTACAAGTAAAAAATTACAACTTCTCTCAGTTTCTGTCTAGTTTTAGTGGTTTTGTTTTTCCTAATTTAAGGACATAACTCAGTTTTTGCTCATCTGTTGCTTTTTTTAATTGCATTGGTCTCGTGTGCGTTACATTCCTTTAAAAAAGCACTGCACACCGACGTTCCAAGTTTTTGGCTAATAGCTCCTTGGGAATCATCTTGTTGATGCAAAAATGCTGTTTTTGGTCAGGTTTTACTATCGTCTGCTGCTGAAAGGTGAAATAATTGTGCTAGTGTCTGTATGTGTGTGCGTTTTTCTGTTGTTTTAGCAAAATATCACATGAAGTACTTGACAAATTTATCAATGAATGTGCATCTATAGCTGATTAAGTTTTGGAGTCAATCCAATTCAATCTTTTCCATTACAGTTGACTAAATTTCAGCCCATTGTACACATACTGAGCTCAAATTCGGCGTGGTAGTAGCTGAGATGCATTCAGTCATACTGTGTGAAATTGATATAAGGTTATTTTTGAGATTTAACCAAAACAGCTGTTATCTTTCAACATAAGATGATCCACGTTTAAAGCCAATGAAAGGTGGCTGTGTTGCTTTGCATTCATGCTGTCTTTAACCGAAGTCCAAGATGTGATACTAACTTTTTTATATCTTCTGCATTGTTGTGTCTTTCCAGGCTACTCTGAAGACGGTGGAGCCCAGAAAGGTGAAGTCATCCCCGAGCACGAATTTGCAGAGGGCCCCATTTGTCTGGAAGATGAGAACGAGTTCCCTCCAGTTGGCAATCAGAGTAACTAATCAAATCTCCTCGTTTCCCAAGAACCCCTCGCACCTCTGCACAGAAACATGTTCTTGTTTTAAACGGACTGGACAGAAATATTCCTGATGAGTCGACACTTTTCAGCACATTTGCCATCTCAGAAGTTTTCCTTACTGACCTTTGGATCAAATCTTCACAAGTATTTCTTCTTGGTGTTTGTTTTTTGGTGTTCTGCGTACCCCTCACTTTCTCAAAGGAATCAGAGAAAAGAAAACTAAAACTGAATGAAGGGTCCACTCAGTTGGAAAAAAAAAAATAGACGCAGAACATTAGCGTTAGACATAGACAGACTTGAAAAGCTGTCTAAAATGTCCTACTGTCAATTCCTACATGATGCGAGTACCAACAGTGTTCAACGTTTGTAAGAAACAAATGCACATGGAACCGAAACCCTGACAGCAAATTTCCATTACTGTTACTGAAGTTATCTTGTTTGGTTTATGATGGTGATGGGAAACTTAGAATTTTATGCATTTCTGATTTTCTTTTCCTTTTTTGGGTGACATAAAAAATATCTCATAAACTTCACTGTGCATGATCCAATATTTTACATTTGTGGCTAGAAACATGCTTGAATCTTTGTTTTTGGTATTTTTTAAAGAGAATTCATGCATTTTTCTTTAAGACCTCCAATCCTTGCTTTGTTTTCTCACATAAACTTAGTCCTTGTCCACACAGAAACGCAGTTTTCCAAACCGATCTTACCATTTCTAATAATTCTCTCGTAAACACAGCATTGTTTCCACATCCAAACTCAAACACTCAAAACACTGTAGTATATCTGCCAGGCCTGAGTGTGGTGCTAAAGCGCAACCATAAAAAACACCAAAAACATGAAACAAGGCACGGAGCATACTCATAAAACTTACAATGCTGGATAAGAACGTTAAACACAACAGAAAGAAGCGGATGCCCGTGGCTTAAATTTTATGATTATTAGAATTCCTGATCATTAAATTAACTGCTTATCCTTGTGTTTGTTCTGCACACTGATAAATAAAAGTGGATCTTTTCCCTGGCCAGAAGAAAGGACCTAAATGGACCTTACCTCTCACTTGTTTAATTGGGTGGGGGGGTTCTGATTTGGTTATATTTATGCAAAAAACAAAAGGTTTACAAATGTTCGAACACCGCTGCATAATGCATATGTGTTACAGTAGGAACAACCATGTGAATAAGTAGTATTACAAAAAGACTGACGATACCCGAGTGGTGGAGAAATGACTTGTCTGGCTGCTTTTATTCAGGGGTCGAAATATCTAGAAGGTTGTTCAAACCTGATTTTATTTTAGCAGCCTAGCTTCAAGCCAAATACAGTAGTGGTGGTGGTGGTGGGGGAGGGAATCCCTGATAAAGCTAAAAGCACAGTTCATGTTTTGTATCCAGTCTAAGCAGCTAAAGATTAATCAAGAGGGTCTTTCTGCACATCAGACCCATGAACTTCTCAACGGGCATTAAATGTGTCGTACCTCCATATAGAGGTGTAGTAGTTTCCTCACGAAGGGCAAAAAACAAAAATAAAACAGTGAGTAAAACTATTTAAATCATGACGTGACAGATGCATTCTATTACTTGCTGATGCTGCTTTGATACTAACAACAGAAGAGACTAAACACCTCCAAAGCCACAAACGTAGCCTCATATATTTGGAAGAGTCAACTCTGTCAGGAAAAATGGTCAAAATCTAAATGTGAAAAACCTGGTGACGAGCTGCACTTTGCAAAGTTAATCATTGAATTTCTGTGAGATTCTGAAGACCTTTTTATTTACATGATGCTGAGTATGTCAACGTGTATCTCATACTTATTTTTACAATAATGTATTCCATATTGTTTTGCAAAGTATTTTAATTAAAACACATAGACTTACCATGTGTTATATGTTGAGGATTTGTACTGTATGTATAATGCGCTGTATATAAAAAAAATTATATACGTATAGAGATAACCTGGTAATTACACGCGATTTGCCAAAAGATGGCGTCGTTAGGACTCCCCTCAAACTGGACTGAGCTGTTCGGTTCTGGACATTTAAATCAAGCTCCAATAAACCTGAAAGTTATGCAACCCTTCAGCTGGCTCACTTTAACTTTTATAATTTGTACTATTTATGTCATATACATATTTATTGACTAGTATCTTTTCCATCCCTGGAAGCATATTTCCTTGAAACATTTTTAACTATGTATTTATTTACCCTTTTTTTTTTTAACAAATGATTGATCTCACAAAGAGTTACAGAAGCTACCACTAAAAAAACGACCAAAGTTCAGCCACTTGTTTGTTTGCACATCTGCTACATCTGGACTTTGAACCGCACAAACAACCCTTTCCACACTAATTTCTAATACACCCAAAAGACATCTGTCTCCACATGTCTGCCTATCTTTGAGGGTTTTATCAGTGTTTTGTGCAAGTCTCTCCGTCTTCCTGTGACGTTGGGTGACACCGACAGACGGCCTGTGTTGGATCGCAGCAGGGTGCTGCTGACTCATCTGTGCTGTAGTCTGCTGTGGACACTGACTTGTCAGTAGCAATGTCCCATAATAGTTCCTCCCTTTTGCGGGCAACCTTTTGTGCGACAGCCTCATACTCAGGTGTGTCAAACTGCAGGGGTGATTCCTCGGCCTCCTCACGTTCCAGATCAAATATCAGAGGTGGGTTGTGGAGCTGCTGCTTTCCTGTTCCACCACCACAGGCTTCTGCTGCACCTGTCAGGAGAAACACAATTCCTAAAATATTTGCCTCTCTAAAGTTTAAGAAGTAGGGTTTATGTGCTGACAAAAGACAAGAAGTGGGAAATAATATTTTTGCCCATATGCATTTTAGTGTCTTATTAAAATATCTCCTAAACCATTGGATGGATTTTAATGAAACTCTCAAACAGTAATCATTTGATGTACATCTATACCTGATTAACTTTTTGGCTGAGACCAATTCAAGATGGCCACCACAGCTAATCATCCTTAGCAAACACTAAAATGGCTTTAACCGAGTCAATTTTAAAGATATTCAGCTGAAATGTTGTGTGGTTGTAGTTGAGACTGATCCTCAACACATACTCTGAGCTCTAACAAACTGCAAGATCTTTGCACAGCACTTTGGCCAATGGTGTTATTTTTAAAGTGCTTTATAAATAAAGTTGTATCTTTGTTTAAAACTTTGCTATTAACTCAATGGAGTGAACCCTGTTTTAGCAAGATATCTCATGAACCATTAGACAGATTTTAATGAAACTTTCAGAAAGTCATCAGTAGATGTACATCTACTGTAAAGTCAATCGGATTCAAGATTCAAGCTGCAGCTAATCAACCTCTACTAACACAAAAATGACTATAACTCTGTGTCAAATTTACAGAAATTGAGCTAAAGTTTGGTGTAGCAGCTGAGACATCCTCAGCATATTCTTTGAGCGCTAACAGTTTGTGCAAGATCTTGTTTATCACAAGATTGTGCACATTGTTTTGAAGCTTTTACCAAAATGGCTTTAACACTGTCCCTTTTTGATGATGCTAGTTTTAAACTCTGGCATGAAAAGCCAAGGGTGATGTGCATTCTTTAAAGTGGTGCTAAACTTTTCATTTTAAATGTCTATGGGATATATCTTAAAACTGGTACGTTTTTTTTTCCTTCAGCATGTTTGATTTGCCCTACACTAAAATACCACCAGTTAGTGCCACCATGATGATTGATGTTCACTGCAGGGGCAAAGCAATAAGCTGTGCTTTAAAAGAAAAAAAAAAAACAATGAAGTTAGGTTAGTTAAGCCAAAAACTGTGAACTGCAAAGGAATTTTAAATGATTTGTGTCTGGGCAGCACCTGTGATGTAGAAAGCCTTGTATTTTCCTGCTCGAACGGTTTGCAGGTCCCCAAACACCCCCGCTGCCCCACTGTTGGGGTGGAAGAGAAACTGCGAGGAAAAAGACAATGACCTCAGCTTACAGCACCTGCTGGAACAAAGCTACATTTAAGAAATATTTGTACCTCACGACCGGTGAGTTCACGCTGCAGGACAATATTTGTGGCATCGATGCCATCGTAACGTCTGTCTGAGGGGGGAGTCACTCCAGCCAGAGACAGAACTGTTGGGAAGATGTCCATGCCACTGCGATACGAGGAAAAAACAGGCGAGACTTGGTGCATTTCTGTATATTCACTCACTTCAGCAGTTTTAATATTTCATAGGCAGGGTGAGTCAATAATATATTTTCATATTTGTGCTGCTAGCAAGCAAAAATGGTGCTTCAAAAGGTTTAGAATCAGTTTGATTTAAAATTCTGAACAGAAAAGTGAGTAAAAGATTAGGAAATGTTCCGATTTTTTACACCCGTTGCTTGTAAATGATTTGTAGCCTTCCAACTTTTGGTTATCTTCTTAAAACTTTCTAGTTTAATAAAATTATTGGTGCTTCTTGAGTGGAAAAAGCTTATTTTTATGCTTATTGGATGATGAGGTCAAGGCATCTTCAGAGAACCTAGCAGAACTTTTTCTTCTTGACATAGTCTATTTTTGGACTCGTTTCTCTGAAGAACCATGACCGTTTGCGTCTTCAGCTGCTTCACAGACACATTTTATTTATTTCTCCACAACCAGACCTTTGATGATTGCAGCCTATAATTTTGGTTTCAAGTCATGTCCATTTGTTTGCAAACTGTTTCCATGTATATCGACCTGCGCACTGATTTTTTTTGCATCAGCAGCTTAGTACATTTTTCTACCTTCTTCAAGCAAATCATAGATTTAAACAGCCAACTGAGGTCTTCCTGTAGCTAAACCTTCAAAAAAATTTACAAAACTAAAATATTTGACAAATGTTGCTTAAAGTCTCTTTTGGAGCCTGTTTTTTTTTTTTATTTATTTCTTGTTGTTTATAGAGATGTTGTCTGTATGTTGTAGCAGTTAGCTGGTAAAGTGAGCATGCCTGAGCAGAGCTGAGCTAGTGGTGTTTGCTGGGATTCTCCCAGGCCAATATACCACTGTGGGCACCCTGTGACCTCCCTCCCAGGTGGTCTGCTTAGCTGAACCTCCACCTAACGCACACGTAAAAAAAGATCACTTATCAAATAAGGCCTTTCAAATAATACAGTATACTAAATCTCCAGCCACTGAGACGCACAACCTAAATATTTAAATTTTCTAGGCTGTCCAAATGTTTCATACCTTTATTAGTTTGCCATTTTCCTGTAAAAGGTCCTACACTTCCTGCATACTGGCACTTCTGTTCCCAAGGACCATTGTCGCCTAAAACAGGACCTCGTGTGATTATCAAATTATTCAGTTAGAGGAGAAATAAAGGCAGAGCTGACGAACCAGTGAACCAGATTAGAGCGTTGTCTTTATCTGAGGCTGTTTTTAATTCTCCAATCAGACCATCCAGTTCTTGCAGACTGGCAGTGTACACGTCATCGCTTGGATAGTGAGGGGTGGTGGGGGCGTCTGGACTGAGCGGAGGGGCCAGTGGGACGTGCATGTGAGCCAGTGCAACGTAGAGCAGATACGGCTGTCCTCGAGTTCTGAAAATATAAAACAGTCTGGTTTCAGAAACGTGTGCTGGGAAACAAGACGGCTGCAAATGCTCCACGTGAAGAAGGCTGCATGACCAAAAACTGGTGTGTACCGTGTAGATGATGGAAACATTTCATATGAATAATCTCTCTGTGTGGCTGAAACTGAAACGTCCGTGTAACTTGTTGCTTTTCTTTAAAGGAACGTGGCTTTTCCAGCTGGAACAAACAATTGATTACTTCCCTGAATTGAAGCCAATTTTACTGTTGAGTATTGGTAATATGATAACTTCTTGGTCACATGACTACACAGTATTGCATGTGCGTGTTGCCTTTTTTATGAACAGCTGTAAACAGCAGGGTTCATCCCCTTCATCAAACTCCAAACACACACACACACTTTCTTGTAAATATACTTTTTGGGGACTTTGCATTGACTTTCATTCATTTTCTATAGCCTGACCCTTACTCTAAACCCAACCATTACTAGTGCATGCCTAACTCTAAACTATCCGCAATTCACACCTTCATCCTAAACCTAACCGCTAATCCCCCAACGAGACTACGGGGACCTGGCTTTGGTCTCCATAAAGTGCAGTCGGTTCCCACAGTGCATGATTTTTTTTTTGTATAATTGTTCCCTACAAGGTAACCCGAAACAAAAACACCAAGTTCAGGTCAACTGCTGTACAAAAACTCTCAAGATTTAATGAACCTGTAATCTGAAATTACAGCTGAACTGACTTGTAATTTTATTTGAACACTGCTTTTCATTGGCTTGTGATTCAACGATACTTTAGCTCAAACTCAGTGATTATTGTTTGACTTGTGCGTGTGTCTTTACCTTAGCAGCCACTCTTCATTTACTCAATCTTAACTTTCTCAAATCGATCACTGGTGCAAACATGTTCTCAAGTTATAATCTCTTTGAAATTATTTACTCTGAAAGCACCACCTTGACAAAAACTACACCTCACAGAGTCGACCTCAAGGGATTAAACTACTTCTTTACACACAGACGCTCAATCTGTTTCATGATTAAAGTGATGGAATACTCCAGTTTTAATTCTTATGTTTCCAACTCATTAAAAGCAGGGTCACACGTAACAGACAGACCCCACAGGCGAAATACTTTGATGAAAGACTCTCACTATGCTCAAAGTTTGAAACTTTGAGTTTTGAATCTTAAATAAGTCCTAAAGTGCTATTACATAAATGAGACTGTGTATGCATATGGTTAAAATGTCAGTAAGAAATAATAGTTTTAGCAGTTTTTTTCTTATTGCAATGTCATAAAGACTTGTAAAAATAAAAATCACAATAAAAGAAACAAATTCTGCATAATTATTTTTGGAAATGTGCTAATAATTTAATACATTAATTTGTAAGCTAAATTTTTGAATAATTGCCAACTACCGGAAGGGATTTTAACCTACAGAAACCGAAGTGTCTAAAAAACAGTCACTAATGGCGACGTTCACGGAACAGCTGTTTGGGATCGAGATGTCCGACAATTTTGACCGTACAGGTGCATCTCAAAAAATTTAGAATACTGTGAAAAAGTTCCAATTTCTTTTTTTTGTCAATCGTTTCAGAAAGGGAAACTCACATCTTCCATAGATTCATTAGTGAAATATTTCAAGTCGTTTTTTTTTTATTGTAATTGTGATGATTATGGCTTACAAATAAGGAAAAACCTAAATTCAGTGTCTCAGAAAATTGGAATATTGTGCAGAGGTTTAATATTGTAAACTCCTGGTGTCACACCCCAATCAGCTCATTAACTCCTAAACATGAGCTACAAATGTTACATTCCTCTTGTCAAGCCTCTCCTGAAACACCAAAGTCCCTGCTCAATAATCCAGGTATAAAATCCAACACTGTTCAGTCAGGTCATCTGGGCGTTTTCTTTTTTAGCCGAGATATTTTATCCTTCAGCCAAAGGACTTCTTCAATCTGAGGAGCCACCAATGAACACAAGTGAATTGCACAAACAGCATACTCCATAGTGGGGAAAAGCAGTTTGCTGGTGCTAAGATGGCCTCCAGGATCCACCCTCTCCCCCGTCAACTCCTTTGAGTCAGTCGTGCCAAAGTGGTTCAAAACACCAAAGTTCATGCTCAGTAATCCAGGTATAAAAAGTGTGTTTTTTCCACTATGGAGTATGCTGTTTGTGGGAATCAGTTGTGTTTGTTGGTGGCTCCTCAGACTGAAGAAGTCCTTTGGATGAAGGATGAAACGTCTCAGCTAAATAAGAAACCATCCAGATGACCTGACTGAACATTGTTGGATTTTATACCTGGATTATTGAGCATGGACTTTGGTGCTTAGAACCACTTTAGCATTGACATAAGAAACTTTTTCACAATATTCTAATTTTTGGAGATGCCCCTGTAGTTCAGGATGTACTTTGTGTTTATTTTCATACTTTACAGAGGATACCTTTAAAGCAATATGTTAAGCGAAAGAACACAATTTATTTTATAACTTGTTTTAAGTCACTAGGATGCAACTATATGCTTTATTTATTTCAAAGTGAGTTTCTAACTTTACCGGTATTTATTGTCTATAAATATAAAAAGAACTCAAACCGAAATAATTAGTTTAGACAAAATGTTTTCCCCTTTTTTGGTTTCTTTCATTTCTTTTGTTTTCCACACTTTGTCTTTGTTTTGCACGTGTGCTGTACCTGGCCCTGTGTATAATCCTGAGCGCAGCAGATTTGTACGTTTCTGTTAATGTCCACAGGTCGAGCGGCTGCTCCACGATACTGCTGTTCTCAACCAGAGGAAGGCCCACCTTGGAATAACAGCCTCCGTGTTTGCTCGTCCTCAGTCTGGAACATAACATTTGAGGATGAAAACACAGTTCAGTTGTTTATCTGTGTATGTAAATGTTGAGCTGTGGCGTTGTTGTGCACGAGCACTAAGCATGTCAGCGTTAATACATACAGCCATACCTGGTACCTTCAGGTATGGATGAAACACAAGGGGAGCACGGGGGCAGGTTATATCCTGGTGTGTCAGTACAGCCCATGTCATTACTGTAGGGAATACCCATGTAGTAATCGAAACCTGTCCAAAATACAAGAAAAGCAATTTGTTCAACAATGTTTTGAACTGTGAACGGTGAAGCAGTGGTTAGAGCCATCCTAGGGCCTTTCTGTGTGGAGTTTGCACGTTTGTTTTGTGCACACATGGGTTTTCTCTGGGTACTCGTTTGCTCCCACAGACCAAAAAGATGCATGTTAGGTTAATAAGTAACTAAATTTTCTCTAGGCGTTAGAGTGTGTATGGTTGTTAGTCTCTATGTAGGACTGGGATGGGCTTACAACCTGTCCAGGGTGCACTCCGCCTTTGAAGCAGTGTGCTGGAAATAGGTACCAGCTCCCCCGCAAATTGAAAAGGGAAAAGTGGGTAAAGTAAATAAATGGATGGATGATTTTACTCTTACCTTAAGCTAGCAGGCATGGCATTTGGACTTTGCCCCTCAGCACATCTGTTTTCTTTTGGGGGTAATACTATTAGGGGGGATGAGTCAGTGTGCTCCATCAGCTGTGAGTGTGTTTGTGGTTTTTGGACCTGAGCATCTTAGGAATAAATTTTGCAGTCTTTCTCTTGCTCTGGATGGTGTTAACGTGGCCTCCAGTTCTAAAGTTAAAAACCTTGGTGTTATTGTTGATCAGGACATGTCTTTTAACCCCCCATAGTAAAAAATGTTACCAGAACTGCTTTCCTCCACCTGCGTAATGTCACTAAAGTTAGAAACATCTTGTCCCAAAAATGATGTAGAAAAACTGATCTATGCATTTATCACGACTAGGTTGGACTATTGCCATTGTTTATTATCTGGATGTCCAAATACTTCTTTAAAAACATCTTCAGCTGATCCAAAATGCTTCTGCCAGAGTTTTAATGAGAGTTGATAGAGAGATCATATTTCTCCAGTTTTAGCTTCTCTCCACTGGCTCCCTGTCAAATTCAGAATATAATTCAAAATCTTACTTCTAACCTACAAAGCTCTCAACAACCCAGCTCCATCTTATAGTACGGATCTTATTGTTCCAAATTTTCCCAACAGAGCACATCGCTCTCAGGCTGCAGGTTTACTTGTGGTTCCTAGAGTTTCCAAAAAGCAGAATGGGAGGAGGATCTTCCAGTTATCAGGCTCCTCTCTTGTGGAACCAACTTCCAGTTTCTGTCCATGAAGCTGACACATTGTCCAGTTTTAAGACTGGGCTTAAAGATTTCCTTTTTGATAAATCCTATAGTTGGTGTTGGCTTGGGTTTCCTGAGCTATCCTTCAGTTATGCTGCTATAGTTATGCTACTATGTTCCTTTAGCAAATATCACAGTTTATATCTTAGATCCTTATTGTTTCTTTTTCCACTTTAAATTTTTGCTATTGTTGGATGTAACTGGGACCCTGTGTACACAAGTTAGTTCCACCTCATGTACCACATGTGATGCGAATGACAATGAAGAACCTTGAATCCTATAGGCTTAGACTGCTGGAGGACAAACTGACCACATTTCTTCACTCTGCTGATGTTTTTACTCACTCTGCTCAACCTGTTTTGTATTTGCAATTTTTTTCTATCCTTGACATGTGTTTTTGTCTTTCAGGTGCACCTGCACCAACATCTGGACCTGACATCCTGTGCTCATTTGTTTCTCCTTCCTGTCCTCTCAAACTAGCCGGTCGAAGCAGATGGCCGCTTGTCCTGAGCCTGGTTCTGCTGGAGGTTTCTTCTTTTAAAAGGGAGTCTTTTCCTTTCCACTGTTGCCACTGTGCTTGCTCAGGATGGGAGACTGTGACTAAGTGAAACTTCAACAAGTCTGCTGGATTCCTTAGATAGAGAACATTACTAATGGCTTTTGTATGTGAATGTTCCTTTAAAGTGCCCTGATACAACTTCTGTTGTGATTAGCACTATTTAAATAAACTGAATTGAACTGAATTGTTGTCCCACAAAACACAGATTGAGGAAGTTTGTGATTAGTGTTCCTGCTTAGTTTCTATCCTGCAGTGAGACCGATGATGTCATAAACTTAATGTAACTGGAGGGGCTTTGAAAGTCCGAGTGCTAAGTTGTTGCACTCAAATGGAAAACTACAGACAAAACAGTGTTGTGTAACAGAAGCACGTGAACTTGTGTTTCATGTAATATATGTATTTCCTTTTACCTGAATGTGTCAAAAAGACAAGTCAACAACTAAACTTTGTAGTGTTGTTTAAAACATTCTTGGAACTTTTTTGTGTGTTCCTAAAAAATGAACAGTTATATAAGAAGATCATTTTAACACAAAGGAGTGCTTTTCCAGCAACAGCATATAGTAGGTTGTGCTTGTCAAAGTAACATTCACATTGAATGCAATCGGTGATGTTTCCCTGTCAAACTTTTGCCCGAAGCATCAAACCGCCTCAGCCAGTTTTCCTTGTTCTTATGAATTCAACGAGTCTTCCCCACACAGAAAAAACATGATTCCTCAGACCAGACCATTTTCTTCTACTGCCCATGGTCCACACCTGATAATTAATGTCAACTGGATACGCATTTAGTGGTAAACACAGCAATGACACCACAACCGGTGGTGCTGCTGCTTAATACACCGTAGTATTTACATTATTAGTGTTTAGCATATATCTTAGATCTTATAGCATACCGTTTAGTGTTCGTTTAGTGTATTTCTTAGATCCTTTTATAATGTTTCTTTTGATACTTTTGTTATTTTTGGGTGTAACTGGGACCCTGTGTGCATAATTTCGTTCCACCTCATGTACCACATGTGATGAGAACGACAATAAAGATACTTGAACTTGAATAACCAGTTCGTAGCTAACTGCATTAACCTTTTGAGCTACAGTAGCTCCTCTGTTGAAGGGAACAACACACCGTTGCTTCAGACATGCATCAGTGAACCTTAACTCCTCCCAGTAACAATTTAGCGCTGAAACACATACTTTCCCGATTTTGTCTGCTTTGAACACATCATAATGTAGAAATGTATGTTTCCTTGTTGGCTAAAACCACTCTCCTAGGTATTGTAACGAGTGGGGGACAATGCTGATGGAATCCCAGGGAAGTGGATACTGGCAAACAATAGACTGAGCCAAGCCCAGTGGAGAGTGAGTGCACTGAACCCATCAAGCTCCTTTTACCTCTCTTAGTTGGAATGTATGGTCCGCTGTGCCCAAGATGCCACTTCCCGATCATGGCGGTGTAATAACCTGCCTGCTGCAACAGCTGGGGCAAGGTGATTTCAGAAAGAGGCAGACCAGCCACAGAATTCACTCCAAAGTTATGTATCACCCCGTTTCTGAGGCCATACCGGCCTGTCAGGATCGCAGCACGGGACGGAGAGCATGTTGAGGCTGGGGAGTGGAAGTCCGTCAGTCTGGATACAGAATATTTGTAGAAATGTCACAAGTTTATCTGGAGAATAGATTAGCTACATGGAAAATCAACATTATTTTCACTTTGATGGAAGTAACCGCCAGGTATTAAATCAATAATATATACCTAAGTCCTTGCTGGGCCATCAGGTTAAGGTTTGGTGTGTTGTTTGTCTTCTTCTCTGGTTGGTTAACATCCAGGTCACCCCAGCCTATATCATCTGCCAGTATAATGATGAAATTTGGCTGTGTTCTGACCCTCTCTCCAGTTCCCAGTCCCTGTTGGGACACTGTGTGGAGCAGCAGCACACATAGCAACACCCCGGACAGTTGCAGCTGGTTTAAGGCCTCCACCATTGTAGGTTAAAATCTGTAAGGGTGACACTGAAGCTCAGCATGCACACATCTTTTAGAATAACTTAAAAGTGCTGCTCATCTGATGACAGAAATCACAACTCCAATTACACGAAGGGACAACTTTCATATTTAATAAACATGGCACAAAAAGTAAAAAAAAAAAGTTTGGTTAGTTATTTCTTTGTTGTAACAATGCTTATTGGCAATAACTTATACTTTTGGAAAGAATGGTAGTTTGCCTTAAATGGTGCAGAATTTGCTAGGAAAATGCATCTGTGAGTTGAGCAGCAGAGTTGAGGATGTGAATTGTGCCCACGAAAGACTAGACACGTCTTCTCTGCCAATGCAAAACAGCTTATTCTGCTATTGACTCTTGTTTTGAGCTTCTAGTACCCCAGGTGTTGACAATCAGGTGTCAGCGAAAAACAACCTATCGCGCACACATTTCCTTGCTTCTTGTGCTCTGTTTATATTAAAACTGTCATTTTCTTAAATTGTGCAAATAAAAAAGGTATGAACAAAAGCTTTAAGTCAAATGTGCAAGAAAATCCTCCTCAAGCTGTTGACGTTTGTGTCTCTTAGAGAAAAAAAACTGTAAAATTGAGAAAAGAAATGTATATGCAGTAACAAATCACTTTAACTCATTTGTTCAGATCTGTCATAACGCCCCACATATGGACTGTATTGACTCCTCGCCTGCTGCATGTGAACTTTTTCTGCATTTCTTTACTGAGAAAGTCACTTCCACCCGGGCCTAGATCTCACCTTCTGCTCATGACCCCTGTAAGTCATGAGCTCTGCTGTTTTTTACAGCTTTGAACCTGTGACTCTGTCACGGCCGTTGCAGGAGGTGGTTAGTCTGTTAAAGCCAACAGCTTCACCAAGTGATGCTATTCCTCCTCGTTTATTGAAAGAGGTTTTACGCACTGTATGGCCTTCGGTCCCTGTTCTTTTGAATAGTCTGTCCTCTGGTGTGGCCCCTGGAAATTTTAAACATGCCACTGTCCAGCCTCTGATTAAGAAACCAACTTGTCTTGACCCCTTTGTTCTTGCTAATTATAGACCAATTAAACTGCCATTTCTTCAGAAAATTCTTGAGAAGGCAGTGTACACTCAATTAATGGCATTTTTGAAAGAACAGAATATTTTAGAGGTTTTAAAGTCTTGTTTTAAATCTTTACGCTGTACAGAATCTGCCCTTTAAAAAGTTTTTAACGATATATTTTAGCAACTGACTCTGGTGACTGTGTTGTCCTTTTGCTTTTAGATTTATCGGCTGCTTTTGACACAGTGGACCACAGCATTTTACTTTGTCGTTTGAAACAATGGGGGGTGTCAGCAGTACAGCAATGGACTGGTTTAGGTCCTACTTAGCGGAGCGTAATTTCTGTGTCTGCCTTGGTGACCACGCGTCTTCCTCTGCTCTTATTTTGTGTGGGGTTCCGCAGGGCTCAGTTTTAGGCCCCCTCCTATTCATGCTGTACTGCTCATGCTGCTCTTGGCTCTATTTTTTTTTTTTTTTTTTTTAGAAAATATGGGATCTCCTTTCATTGTTATGTGGATATATGTCCTGTTAAAGAAAAAGGACTCTAACTCTCTGAGCCCTCAGTTTTCATGTCTAGAGGACATAAAAGACTGGATGGCTGTGAACTTTTTAAAGTTTAATGAGGAAAAAACTGAGGTGATGGTCTTTTGGAAGCTCCACTGAGACTCCCAAAGTAGATGTTGGTTCCTTGGCCCAGTATATAAGGCCAACTATTACAAACCTAAGTGTCAAAGTCAATGCTGGACTAAACATATAAAACCACATCAGAGCAGTTCTTAAATCTAGGGGTTTTTTTTCCATTTGAGGCAGCTGGCTAAAGTAAAGCTGATTCTTTCTCGGCAGCATTTCGAAAGAGTAATCCACACCATTGTTACCCTCGGCTGGATTACTGTACCACACTCTATACAGGAATCAGTGACTCATGTCAGCTTCAGTGGGTACAGAATGCTGCTGCAGGGCTTTTTTTCATTCATTCAAACTTAATTTATAAAGGTTAATCCCACTGAGCCTCAGGGACTCATTTACAAGAGAGACCTGATAAACTTTTAAGGATTCAAGCATTCAAGGTTCTTTATTTGTCATTCCACCACATGTGGTACATGTGGTGGAATGAAATTGTGTACACATTGTTTTAACTGGCACATGAAAGTTTGACCACATTTCCCGTTTTATCCTCCCTGCGCTGGCTGCCTGTACATTTTAGGATTAATTATAAAATTATTTTATTTGCTTTTAAAGCTCTAATTGGACTTGCCCCGCCCTATCTCTCAGAGTTGCTAGCTATACACACCCTCGCGATCCCTCAGGTCATGTGATCAGCTGCTCCTGAGTGTGCCGAAGACAAAGCGTAAACTCAGAGGAGACCGTGCTTTTGCTCTGGCAGCTCCTAAATTATGGAACAACCTTCCCTTGAATATCAGACCCTGTCTGTTTTTAAATCCCTTCTTAAAACCCATCTCTTCTCCCTGGCCTTTGACACCATCTGAAATGTAGACTTTTAATAATTTTAATCACTTTTAATTATCTGATGGTATGACTGTTTTATTATGTGTACAACACTTTGGTCCTGTGGGTGTTTAAAGTGCTCTATAAATAAAGCTGGTATGGTATGGTATGGTATGGTATGGTATGGTATGGTATGGTATGGTATGGTATGTAATGCCAGCTGTAACACAATATATCCTATTGCTGCTGCATGAACTATAATGTCAGTTCTTTACAATATAACTATAACAGTAAGATTTGTTTACAAAAGGATGATTGTCACTAAATTTGTGGAGCATTTTGCCGTCAAAGTGGTCTTTGAGAAATCGAACATCTGGAATTCGTCCCAAGAAGAAACGTTTATTTATGAATTGAGACATCTTTCAACTCTTCTTAACCCTGCTCCTCCAATTAACTTTATTTCTTGTGAGCTTGTTGGTGTACAAATTGAATCCATTATCTATAACAATTGTGCCAGTATTCTCTGCTGAACTTGTTTCTGTGCCACACAAGAACACGGGAAGGCATCTTCTAAGCAAAACATATGAATCCCAAGTGATGTCTTAAAGGGATCAACAGCTAAACAGAGGCATTTATGGATTATTAACCAACATATCAACAGTATAATGTGGTATTTTACAGACAGAAATCAGTGGCTTCACATAAGGAGAAGCTACTTATTTTAATAGCTTTAGAGTGGTGGGCTATTTGTCTGTGTGGATTTAAATAAGTTATAGGACTTATGGATTTGTGTTTCCCTGTGCCACTGGTCCAGTTTCAGTACTTTTCCTCAGTTCGTTTTTGTTCCTTTGTCCCATGCCCACCTTCACCTGCTCCCCATTGAGCCACCAGTCTCCAATCTCCTCATCAGACCTGGTCCATTTAGTCTCCCAGTTTTCACCTCACCTGCATTCTGGCTTTGTGCTTCCATGCCCTGTCCGAGTCTCTTAAGGTTTTGTTGTTGCTGCTGCAATATCAGCTTCCTCTCCAATAAATCTTTACATTTCATTTCAAGCACCTGGTTGTCTGCATTTAATAAACTGTGATAAGACAGGACAACAATCCTGCTTCTATAGCTCCAACATGGGGAAAATATTTTTATGTATTAAAAAAAAGCGGGATAAACATTTTTATTTTAGACACTGATTAATATCAGACTATAGTTATGGAAGAAATAAAACTATCCGAGTCTAAATTGTGTTGTTGTGCTTTTAAACTGTTGCATGTATTTAAAATTAAACTACCAGGAACAAAGTTTGTTAACAGCTGAGCACCTCAAGTCCACGGAGCTGTTATTAGAACTGGCTGCAACCAGATCTTCCTCGCTCCTCGCGCGGGTTCATATAAATGTGAGCTCGTGGCACACACAGAAGTATAGTGTGTCTGTTGGTCTCACGTGTGCGTGCCGGTTGTCCGTTCATGGATGCAGCGCGCGACACCCTGCTGAGGAGGAGAAGAAGAAGAAAAAGGATTATCTCCGTTTGAAGTTGGCGCCACCGGTGAGCTAAAACACGTCATTTCACAAACTATCCTTTCCGTTCTGCTTATGAAGAATAAAAGTTTACGTGTTTTAGAAGATATGAACATTTAGTCCAGTTGAGTATTCGCTCTGACGCGCGAGGAACCGATACTTACAACTTGTATGAACGTGCCAGTGAGCGACGTCACAAACAGCGCGAGGAGACCGAACTGAGGAGATTGCGTCATACGCACGAGGACAGCTTCTAGTCCACACCTCCTCCCTCTTAATGTAAAAGTTCACCTATAAACAAGAGGGCTGATGTTTTAAAAATAGGGACAAAACTGGAAAATCCCATATCTTCTACTTTCATTAAAATAATAATAAAAAAAATTTATTTTTTAAGATATACAGTAAAATTTTAACTTCCTTTTGCAACACCAGTACTGCTAGTGCTAATTAACACTAATTATGAGCAAGTATCTAAAATTATGAGTTGCTAAGTCATATTTATTAGAGGGTATAAAGTTGTAAATACAGATATCTTGCACGTATAGATGCATCATAATTATGAGATAGTAACTGATAATTATGGGATGCTAATAGATAGTACCTCATATGGGTAAATAGTAAATGGACGGTATTTAAATAGCGCCTTTCTGTCTTATCGAGATACTCAAACTAGTGCTTTACACTACAACCTGTGACCTCATGTACCCATTCATACGGCTCTCTACTATATCTATACAAATAATAATCCGTGCTTTATCACATTCATACACCAATGAGACACACATCGGAGGAAATGAGGGGTTCAGTGGCTTGCCCAGGGACACTTCTGCATGTGACTGCTGGTGGAATCGAACCCCCAACTCTTACATTGGAGGACAACTATCAGCACGGTTGTCCCTTATTGTGATAGTATGGTCTAATTATGGAATATTAATTCATAATTGTGAGGTATTGATAATTATGGGATATGAATTCGTGATAATTCATGGTTATGAGATAATATTTGACAATTATATCCCATAATTTTGAGATAATGCCTCATAAACTTGATAGTATGTTAAAATTCTGCAACCCTACATCAGCATGGTTTTATCTCTTTAATTTTGAGACCATATTCATGATTTTGAGACAAGGATGTAGCTCAGTGGTCAGTGCCACTGTCTCACAATCCTGGGGCTGCAGGTCTGAGCCCAGGTTGGATCAAAAAGAGCTTACAGTTGCCTATTTTTCGTGCAAGTTTGATTATTAAGACAACTATACTGATTTATTTATTTTTTTATTTGACCTTTGGTACTGAGTCACAAGGACTCATTTTTCAAGAGAGACCTGTTTTAGACAAATGATAAAGGGAGCAGCCAAAACAAGGGGAAAAATATCATAATTACTAGTTAGTGTCTTATACATATTAAGTCTTAGTTATGAAACAGGCTACCATATGACAGAGTAGATTATCTTTTTTATTCAAAGTGTCATAAATAGGCTCCACAGGACACAGCCAAAAACAAACAAACAAACAAAATATTGTAAGTCTCCAATTAAAATAACAAAACAGTTGGGATGTGTCTGTGATTTTTAAAGCCATCCATCCAAAACAAATAAAATAAATAAATCACAGCACGTCAATAATTAAATAGTTCAATATGTGTATTGCTTGGTTCTACAAGAGCATGGAAAAACACATAAGAAAATAAAAAGACTTCGGAAAAACCCTAAAGAGATTCATTGTAAAGTTTCCCAGAACTCTTTTTTTTTTCCACTTAAAACTCCTACACTCCCATAACTTCTCACGTGTTTCATCTTTTTACCGCTGTTCATGTTTGCTAAGGGATTTTAAAAACCTGAAAAAGTACAAGAAAATCCTTAAAGAGGTTTTTTCCAGGTTTTGTAAAAAATCTTTTAAACGCCAAGATCTCTACAGACAATTAGAAAGTGAGATATTATTGTACTCTCTGATAATGTTCGTTCACTAGAACTTGCTGTAATTGCTAATTTTATTACAATGTACATTAAAACAAATTGTGTCATATTATAAGGAAAATCTGTATATTTTAAATTTATATGACTAATCAGGTATGTATGTTCTGTTGGTAAAAATGTGACGCTCTAGACCTGGACCTCTCTATGGTTTCAAACATCTGCTAAGTTCCTGGGAAAACCCAATGCAGACATGTTCCTGTTTTTACTATTTTACACCGCCTTACAACCTAGCTGTTTTTTTTTTTTTTTACTTTTTTTAATACCATTTTATTTTCACTTGTTATTCTCAATTTGTACGCATCCTGTATGATTTTCATTTCTTTGTTGAAATCAGGTCTCTCTTGTAAATGAGCCCCCGAGGCTCAATGGGATTAAACTGAAGAAATAAAGGTTGAATGAATTAATTAATCCATTTATGTAAGGAGACTGAGACTGGATTGATAAAATACCTCCAGATGCATCAGGGTTTCAAAGTATGTTCAACTGATAATATCAGAAATTTACTCCATCATATGTTTAACACCAGCAGCACCCATGAAAACCACCCCCTGTTGTGAAAATGAACAAAAGCTGAGGGGGTATTTATGTTAAAAGGGCTTGCCATAGAGGGGGAGAAATTATATAAGAGGGTTCAATAGTTGAGGTCAAACAAAACAGAGTAAACATTTTGGAACCAAACTTTGAAACAGTGAAGCTACTTGGGAATACTCATACAAACCAAATATAAATACTTTTATATTTATTTATTATCTATTTATTGTTTATTTGATAGGGACAGATACAAGAATCATAAATGAAAACAATCTAATGCCTGCATCACAGTGTATGTGGCCAAAGCTAATTCGCAACACCCGTCCCTAGATGGACCTTAAGATCAACAGTAAAAAAATAAAAAAATATATTAAAAATAAATAAACAATTTAAAAAAACAATGTATTTAAAACTACAGAGTTAAAACAATTACAATATTTAAAAACGAGTACAATTCTGGTTCATCTTTAGATAATTCTTAAGCCTTGAAGTGAATATTTTAATGTCAGTTATGGTCTTAAGATCGTTTGGTGATGAGCTCCAAAACTTACAGCTCCTGATAGAGAAGGTTGTCTGTCCAAAACTTGTCCTGCAGAATGGTATTTTATTTTACTGTCATGATTAGTGGAACACTGTTGATGTTCTGTCTCTCATCAAATGCAAGTAATGGCTCGGGTGCTACACGATTGATGCATTTATGGAACAGTTTAAGAAAACAAAAACTGACAAAGCTATCAAAGCTCATTAAATTATGTTTCTTAGCAGATTGGCTTTTCATCCATCATTTTTATGGCTCGATTGTATAAAGAGCCACTGTGTTTGGTTGAAGTTGGAGAGGCCTGAGCCTATGCGGTCATGCAATATGATATATGACAAACAAAAAAAATCATAGAATGCATATATAGCAGGGCTGCCTGACTTGGTATACAGTTTCTAATTAGTTTGAAACAATTAATATTACTTTGTATTGTTTTTAAAATTGTCTTTAAATGTTTATCAAATTTAAGTTGAGGATCTAGCACTAAGCCAAGGTATTTAAATTCTGCAACAGACTGATTTTTTTATTTATTTTGTAAATGAAAATAAAATTTATCTTTTAAATCAAGTTTTCTACCGCTGCAGCTTGTTCTGGTGACTTAGCGGGTGCATAAAGAACTGCGTCATCTGCATAAAGTTGTCACCTGAGCAGTGCCCAGGCAACTTGTTTATGAAGAGAATAATGCTGCACATATAGGAAAATGAGTCAGTTCAGGGAAAAAACAATCTTAAGTGTTGTCTCACTTGATGATTAAATTTCTTTTTTTAATGAAACTTCATACAATATTAAATAAAAGTTACAAAGAATAAAATAGAATCACAAAGAAGTAGCATGTTTTTTTTTTTTGCCCAGCTTGCTTGAAAAACAAACAGAAAACAGAGTTTCGTAACATTAGTAATCAATATTTCTCATTCTGAGCCACATTTAAGTTAAAAAGCTAAATGTGATGTTTTAGCTCTCTTTTCCCTAATAACCAATAATTCACATTATACCGGAAACACCCGATTTCACCCAATTCTCCCCCCCAAATGCATTAATAATTGATCAGGTCCAACCAAAAGCGAGGCTGGACTTCAGCTACTGCGTTTTATCTCTTCTTTATAATCTCTGACTTCAGCAGTGTTCATGTTTGTACATTTAACAGGGGTTGATAAGAATGCACAGACAGCTTTATTTAAAGGCCGGCAGCTAAAGAAAGACTAGAGGCAGAGTAGGAACACACATAAAGAGGTAAATACTAACATCTGACTTGTTAGCTCTAATTAAACCTGTGGGTGATGAGAGGAGGAGCAGCCCAGTGGGGGGGTTTGATTTAGTCTTCTCCACAGCTTTGGGGAACTTCTCTGCGGGGTCTTTGACTGGAACTGGGGATCCCAATCTGCTGTCTCGTGCAGGGCATGGCGCTGTGCGGAGCTAAGGCGCTGCGTTTCCTGGGGCCCAATGTGTACTCAGAGGCCCCCGATGGAGGCTGGGGGTGGGTGGTGGCAGTTGCTTTCTTCATCGTGGAAGTCTTCACGTATGGCATCATCAAGAGCTTTGGCATCTTTCTCCAGGATGTGATGGAAGAATTCGACGAGACCAACAGTCGGGTCTCTTGGGTCGTTTCCATCTGTGTGTTTGTCATGACCTTCAACGGTGAGTCTGCAAAACCTTGGATCAAACTACAGATCTTAGTCCCAACTATGTGCAACATGTGTCAAACTACAGGCCTGCAGGACAGATTTGTCCTTTGTTACATTTTCATCTTGCTTCCTGTATAATATTTCAAATATTTTGGAACTGTCCTGCTAAGATTGAGTCTTTATCAGTTTTATTTTGCTTTAAAATTTTAAGAAAACTAGCCAACTTTTAGAACAACAAAACAAAGTTTAAATTTCTGAGCTATCTGTTTTTATTTGACATTCAAGTAGAACCGGTTTCACTTTTGTAGACGATATTTCAGCTAGGCCCGTCACAATAACAAATTTTGCTGGGCTATTAATTGTCTCAGAAATTATTGCAATAAACGATAATATTGTTTGAAATTTGACAATAATCAGTAATTATTGTCAAATTTAAGAAGAAATGTTTAATTTGTTTTGAGTGTAGTATCTTTTGTCGAGCACTGGATGGCAGTATAATAATTTTTGAACCGAAGAATGGATAGCGAGGCTCCTTGACGTAACATGGGCTGTCTCTCTTTCCTTTTTTCGGTTCTCAAAATGGCGGACACTTGGTGTGGTTTGAGCTCTTTAGCATAGCATTTTTCACACAAACCTTTAAATTAGGGATGCACAATATTGGATCTTTGGCCGATATCTGGTATGTCGATACGTTAAACCTTATTTGGCCGATAACCAATACCAATATTTTTTATATATATTCCTTTGTCAGAACATAGTCCTCTTATGTAGGCTTATTTGCTACAAAAATTGTGCAACAGCTGTAAGCGCTGGTGACATATATTCAGTAACAGCCATATGATATGCATATCACTAACTTATATTAAATGAAAAGTGTTAAATGTTATTTATTAGCATTAGTCACCTGCGATGCTGTCTCACTTGTGGAGGCTTGTTCCAGGTTTCTAGCTGCAGTGTGGGATCCTCTGCTCTCCTGTGCATGAAGGACAGACTTTTTAAGATCAAAGTTTTTGTCTATCCATTGTGCCATAAAATTAATGGGTTAGACTAACGGGGCTAACACAACGTCCAAATGTCTGTGATAAAACTCAACCAAGTGCTATCGGCTATTAGCTTCTCAATGACGTTGGAAATGACGGCTTGTAACTCGGGTAAGGTTACATCGAAAAAATATCTCCAACTGGGTGCGATGTAGCGAGGCTCAACGTAGTCCAAAAATCTTCAGAATCCGACATCCTCAACGATAAAAACCTTCCACACCGCCGACATTTTGAATTTTCCTCTCCGCCGTGAAATCAGGTAGGCGTGCGTGACATCATCACGTTGTGCTGCCGCTGCAGGCATCCTTGGTACTAGGTTGTCATACAAAAACAGCATCTTTTGTATCGGTGAGTTATTTTGATGGAATGGTCAATGTCCAATATTGAACTTTAATGCTAATATCGGCCGATACCATGCCGATAATATCGTGCATTCCTAATTTTAATAAAAAATTAGTAAACAAGAGGAAAAACAACTTTTTACATGAAGGCACGGGTTTCACCCATGAATTTTGGAGCTTCGACAAGACAGAGGTTTTTTCCAAGGTTGGCCTGTTAGCTTAGCTCTTAGCTTAGCTGCTTTTAACGATCCGAAAACACGATTTTGGACGGTTAGAATGGATTTTAAAGAGAAAGGAAGGGGTCAATGAAGAGCACCGGAGTTTAGCCTTTTGTCATCCAGTGTCTTCAGTAGAAAGAGAGAGACGAAGAAACGATAAAGCCGATAAATGAAAATGAGGTTGATAATTTTCATTTATCATGCGATTAATTGATTTATTGTTTATTGTGACTGGCCTAGTTTCAGCCAAAAATCAATGTCAGACTGGTTTGAGTCAATATGCATCAGATCAACAGTGAGGCATCTTATAAAAGGCATTTTAGACAAAATAATTTGTATTATTAAAATAATAATATAAAATCCATTTGAAAATCAAGGTGAAGTTATTTAATCAGTAAATACCGACTTGAAATTGGCCCTTGATCCAAATAAAGGTTGTAATTTTGGCCTGCAGTGCCACTGAGTTTGACACCCCTGAAATAAACCAATGGTTTGTCCACAGGTCCTCTCTCCTCGGTGATAACTAACCGTTTTGGCTTTCAGTTTGTTGTTATGATTGGAGGATTGCTTATTTTCATCGGCACCATTGCAACCAGCTTTACAAGCTCTGTCAATCAAATATACATCACATATGGATTAGTTGCAGGTATCTACTTCTTTACTACTTTAAACTTTTAATGGTCCTTAGATTTTTTTATGTTCAAGTAAATATAAATATAAATATATATATATATATATATATATATTTTACTGTGCAGGTCTAGGCTACTGTTTGACCTTCCTGCCCACTGTGACCATCCTTTCGAAGTATTTTACACGTCGGCGGTCCTTGGTCACTGCTGTGGCCTCCACCGGAGAGTCCTTTGCTATGTTTGCCCTGGCTCCAGGTAAGAGCAGGAATTCCTACAGATCCCTACCAAAAACTTCAGAAGATATATTTTTACACCAATATGCATCATGTATTTAATATCTCTTTGCCTTTAAGCATTTTCTGTGTTGCGAGATCTTATTGGCTGGCGACACGCTATGGCGGTGATTGGAGCTCTGCAAGGCGTCATCATCATGTGTGGAGCGCTGCTTCGACCTATCATCATCAAACCCATGGCGACCCACAGCCCACAGGCTGACACATTGTCCGCCAAGGAGCTGGAAGCCCTCCGGACGCAGGAGACTGTACAAAGTATAGACCTAGACAATTCTGTGACAAAAAATGACGAGTTCACTGGAGTGTCTGTGAGTACTGCAGACGTTCAGTTCCTTAAGGACAGAAGCGCCTCGGAGGAGACTAGTTTGTTGCACAAAGAAGCAAAATTATATGCAGGGTTCAAATATCTGGAGAACAGTAAGGTAGACGATAAAGAATCAGAAGAGGAGAAAACAAACATGGATGCAGAGAAGCAAGTGGAGAAAAATGAGGAGACTGAGACTGGAGAAAAGAAGCTATCTGCAAATAGTCCTCCCCTCCTCGACTTCTCCATCCTCAGAGAGTGCAGCTTTATCTTCTACTCTCTGTTTGGACTGTTCGCCACTCTGGGCTTTTTCGCCCCTCAGCTCTACATCATCGAGCTGAGCGTGAGTCGGGGAGTGGAGCGGGAAAGAGCCACCTACATGCTCTCCACCATGGCTGTGGCTGAAATCCTGGGCCGCTTCTTCATCGGGTGGGTGCTGACACGAAAAATGTTCAGGAGGAGGAAGCTCCTGGTTCTCCTGGCGTGTGTTGTGGTTCTGACCTTGGATCTGGTGGGGTTTACCTTGGTGGCAGAGTTTTGGGGCTTGGCTGTGTGTTGTGGATTGTATGGGTTTTTCATGGGGACCCTGGCGTGCACCCACATCCCCATGCTGGCTGAGGAGGACGTGGTGGGCATAGAGAGGATGTCTTCAGCTGCTGGAGTCTATGTGTTCATTCAGAGCTTTGCTGGACTGGCTGGACCACCACTTGGAGGTGAGACTGGTGGTCTTTACACCTTCCGTACCTATGCCATTCATTCACACAACATGGATATCATAAAAATGTCAGACTCAGTGATTTATTTGAACTGGTTTTCTTCCAGGTTTGAATAATTACAGCATACCTTAATTTTATTTAAAAAATAAGAGCTGGATGCTCAATCTGACTGTTATGTTTCACTTAATGCACCTTATAATCCGATGCACCTTATAGTCCGAAAAATACGGTACATGTAGATTCGAATATTAAAAAAAACAAACCTAACTATTATTTGATATTCAAAACATTTGACTACCCTTCTTGGAAGTTTTGGTAGATTTAACTGATATTGGTTAGTTTCCTGGCACAGAATCTGCTTTTAAGTGTAGCCCAAATCCAACAATGTTCAGTCAGGTCATCTGGACGGTTTATTTTTTTTCCTTGAGACATTTCGTCCTTTATCTAAAGGACTTCTTCAGTCCGAGGAGACCCACCATAAAATTCCACCACATCATTTTGTTCCACCACGTGTACTACATGCGGTGTGAATGACAATAAAGAATCTCTCTGAAACAAACAAACTGGAGTCCCACAAGCAGCACACTCCCATAGTGGGAAAAAAAAACCAAACAGTTTGCTGGTGATAAGATGGTTTCTAGGGCCCGCCCTCTCCATGCCATGCCATTATGGTTCAAAACATCAAAGTTCAGAAAACAAACACAAAAACCATCCAGATGGCCTGCCTGAACATTGTTGGATTTGTACCTGGATTAATGAGCATGAACTTTGGTGTCGTCCAAAGAGTTCTGTGTTGGCGCCATGGGAAAGCCACCCTGAAGTTAATCAGTTTTATCAGAAACTAGTTTGATGTGTGTTTGTGTTGGAACATCCAACTGTATCCATGTTTCGTCCACCTACTCACTGATTTGAGGTGAAATTAAATAATTTGGAGGTAGTTCTCCTTCAACATTCCACTTTGTGTTGCTCCAGGACCACAGCATGATGCTACCAATACCATGCTTGACAGTTGGTTCAGTGGTTTTTGGGTTTGAAAGCTTCACCAACGGCGTCAAATTACTTTATGTCATTGTGGCCAAAGAGCAAAATCTTTGTCTCATCTGACCAAAACACTTTTCTCCAAAAGGCTTCTGGCCTCTCCATCAAGCTTGAAGGTGTCACTTTTGGAGCACGAGCTTCTTTCTTGATTGTCTCAGCCCATGGAGGTGTAAAATAAGCTTCACTGGTGCTCAGACTATTTCCATTTTACAGCAGGGCTGAACCTTAGTTGTTCCTACATCTTAAACCAATTATCTGTTTTTCGTACATCTTCACTGAGTTCCTTGTACTTTTCTCATTATTGTGAATATTCTGTGGAACAAATCCTTTTTGTGCTAGCATAGAAAAACTACCAGCTACAGGCAATCATGATCACGAACAAAAAGTTAGTAAGCCTTGTCAAGTCCAAAAATATCCTACAGAACCACCTAATAAATAAGATCCCTGATCCCCGTTCTTACTAGTCCTTATTGACAGATTTTAATGCCTGACAGGGAACTATTGAGGTGTTAAAGTATGTAAACATCTGACCTCAGCTGAAAGTACAGCTTCATATTTTGATTGTAAAAGTATGATTCATTTATTGTTTAAGTTAAAAAAAAAAGAAAGTATCGTCTTGTTTTTAGTCTGCGCAGCTGCATTTTTTTGTGTGCACCTTTAAAACGTCCAGTTTTGAGCAACACATTAAATGAGTAAAAAATAAAACAACTTTACACCTTCAGGTTGTCTTTAAGTCTACAAATAAAAAGAATGCATCCTCCAATTCTGGCCTTATGATGCATTTAAGAAAGTTTTGAAACTCAAAATATCTTTTTATTTAACCCAGCAGGAAAAATCTTTTTTTTGTTTTTTTTGTTACCCCTGCACAAGATAACTTTCTATTGTAGTTTTGCATCTAAGTCCTAAAAAAAACCTTTTTTTTTTTGTTTAAATGTGTGCTTTATCCAGCATAAATGTTAAATTATAACCTTGAAGGTTATTTTATGCCTTTGATATTCTCTCAACTGAAAAAAAACGAAGGGTAACAATTGATAAATAAATAAAAATCACTTTAAAGTTGTATTTCAATCAAAAGCCAAGATGTTCTCAAATATGAAACTTACTCCAGTTTGTGTGGTTTTTTTTTTTTTTAATCTTTCTGCAAATTCAGTTGTATAAAGCTGCGTTGATATGCTGAATGATTTGTCTTGTGTGTTTCCTCCAGGCGTGCTGGTTGATGTGACCCAGAACTACGGAGCAGCCTTCTACTCTTGTGCAGCTGGCATGGGTCTGAGCGCCCTGTTCCTGGGTTTGGTAAAACCTGCTAAAAAAGGAATATTCTGCCGGAGGGGAAGTGTGAAACATTCTGTAGACCTACCTGAAAGGGATGCCAAATGCAAGGAAGAGAGTGGCGAGCATAAATCAGAACACAGAACTAATCATGTAAAAAACTGAAGAGTCAGAAGACAAACTGGAAAACAGCTGAGGAGGAGCTGTCAAGGAGGATCCATTAGTGATGTGTGATAAAAAGTGATGTACCAGTAAATAAGGGTTTGAGGCAACCAAAGAGCTGCAGTGACCTGGATACAGTAAAGAAAATGACCAATATTTCATATATCTTTTTTATGAGAGCAAACATTTACATTGTGCCTTAAATACATGAGTCACCAAACAGTATCTCTGCTAGAATCATTGTTACAAACATTAAAAAGGATGTTTTTTGGATTTTTAATTAAAAATCACTTTGAGTGAGACGTACGAATGTATGAGTTACTGTGCTGTTAAAGAGAGATCAGTCACTAAAAATGACCTGATGATGGTCAACATGATCACTGACGTTAAAAAGAGCTGCTAAAAGACAACCTGCTGCACAATCTATAACACTAGCTTTAGGGGAAGAAAAAAAAAAAACACAGGAGAAGGTGAGTAAAACTCATTTTTAATCAAACTGTTGCCAAACTTTAAATGCCTTTTTATTAAGAGAATAAGGTCAAATTTTCTTTTTTTTTTTTTATGGAAGTGTGTTCGATCAATAAAGAAATTATGTGATTTGAACTCAAATGTATCACTGTTTTTGTTTGTCTATCAATAGAACATATTTTTCTAAATAAATAATTCAAAATATGCTAAATTACATCAAAAAATTTAAAACCAGAAAGCTCAGTTGTGAGATACTCTGTCTGAACAAATACTTAGACAAATATACTACCACTCTTTAAAGAACGAGTTTCAAAGTTCTGTTAGAGCTCAGAGTATGACTCTCTGCAACTACCTTGTAGTTGTTTATGTCAGTTTTGAACCATTTCTGCGTTGGCTGAGGTCAAATTTGTGTAACAGATGTACATCCAGTGACCACTTTCTGAGAGTTTCATCAAAATCTACTCACTGGTTCATGGGATATTTTGCTAACAATTTTTGCCCTTGACATTTTTGGTGGATGCCACCTGTTAATGCCCAAGTTTTAAAGAAACACGTTGTGCAGCTTGGAGTGCACATGTTCTGAAATAGCCTTAGCTACTACCACACCAAGTATTAGTTTAATATCCACAAAATTGATATGAGTTGTCGACATTTTTCAAAGATAAAATATTTGCGCCCGTTCATGCCCGGTGATGAAAAGCTTGAATACCTTGTGTTTTTAGAAGACTCTATTGTGATGCATCATATTCTGTCCTACAGTTATAATGAAGATAAGACTCAACCTAAAAATATATTTATTTTGTTGATTTTTAAAATAAATTACTAAATAATGAGCAACATGTTACTCAGGCTGTATTTTTGTCTAGACATGCATGACTTGTTTTAAGGGCTGAAACCTAAAATCATTGTCATCAATTGTGTATCAGACCAAACGTGGAAAACGGGAGTAATCTCTCATGCACAAAATAGAAATCACAAGGGAATCAGAAGATGCACATAAAGAGATCCGGCTCGAAGGACCAAACTGTTGGATAAAAATATCCGCTCATTATCTTAAAGGAGTCACACATGATGACAGGAGATTTTTATTCTGAGTTTATTTGCTAGGACAGATAGTCGCCACAGGCTTACACAAATGTTTCACTAAAGCCCATTCGCAAGGATCTGCACCGGATAGTGTGCTGTTGTTATAATACACGCTTTATCAGCTCCTCCTCCAGACTCGGAGGTGACTTGGAGTACCAGCTGCACATGCGATATCAAATCAGCACCTCATTCAGCTCTCTCTGCTAACTCAAACACATGGTTCATGGGCAGTTAACATTAATTAATGACAAACATCCTTGATCTTGACTAAAATTCCCCTGACAACACAGTCTTTCCTGTTGTAGAAAGCAGCTAATTTTTTTTTTCAGTCTGCAAAACTTGGGCAAATTGACAGTCATAACAAAAAAATTTATGTTAAAGCAGAAAGTTTTGGCTTTGTTAGAAACGCTTAACAAAAAGGAATGCTGAGTTAATTGAAGGAAAGTCTCTTCTGTAGTCAAACGTGGTTGAAGCTATTATAATTTGAGCTTTTTACTGTGAGAGTGGCACACAGAGGATACCTCCAATAGAGGTAAGGATGCATCCAAATAAACTAAATTAAGTTCAAAAGAACAAGTTTGTAAAAAGAGAGAGAGAATATATTTAACAAGACGATCCCAAATACACCACAAAATCCACATTGGATAATCTCAAAAGAGGCGTTATCTTACAGTTTTTCATGTGTTTTTTTTTTTTACAGAACTATAATATACAAAAACTGTCCGCAGGCCTCAAAGTGTGCAATACAATCGAGAATCCGTAAGAGCAGGAACCTTCGTGCAGGAAGAAAGACGAAATCTGCATTTTCGACATGATAACCTAATGGTGCGAATCCACATCATAGCTGGACAAGCTATTAGCCATAAACAGGCATACTTTCAACCCTCTCCTGCATTTTTCAATTTGGGACTGTCCGTGGAAGCCACGAACCAGGTGAGTCTTGACTCCAGGACCACATCTATTGCTGTGTGTAACACTGGCATGGATGAGGTACTGATCCCAAAAAAGACTATGCTAGGATGGTTGATTTCAACCGACTTTCATGATTTTGAACTAGGCATTCCATTTCTGGGAGGACTCCCAGATAACCTGGTACCGAGTCAAGAAGCTGGGCCAGTATGGTTCACGAAACCAACACAGGCCATAGCTCTTTTCTCAACCAATGACGTCGACCAAGGACCTCAAACCTATGGTGTTTTACCCATAGACAGGCCCGACGACTCAGAAAGGGTTTCGTTGGAGCTCCCCAAGGAGCAAGAACCCTTATCAGTCTCATCACAGATTGATCAGGTGGTCGCACAAGCCGACGCTCTGACATCTGATGAAGAAAGAGACAAACTACGCCAAGTTCTTTTAAAATATGAAAAGTCATTTGCAACTGATTCAACAGATTGTGGGTTGACCTCACTCCACGCAGTGAGAATCCCAACCCCACCCAACGCACCGCCAACATTTGTCAGACAATACAAGATCCCTCTGGCAGCATACCAACCTGTCCAGGAGATCATTGATGACCTTTTGGTCAAAGGTATAATCAGACAATGTAACAGCACCTACTCTGCGCCTCTATGGCCAGTTTTAAAACCAAATGGTAAGTGGAGACTTACCATAGACTACAGAAAGCTAAATAAACAAGTACCCTTATCCAGGTGGCCAATGACTCAGCTCCATCAGGAACTGCCAAAGGTCACCGACGGTAAGTACTTCTCGACCCTCGACGTCGCCTCTGGTTTTTGGACCATCCCTGTGCGCGCCGAGGATCAACACAAACTAGCTTTCACTTTTGGCAGCCGACAATACACCTTTACCAGGTGTCCCTTTGGCTACGCTAACTCACCTGCAGAGTTCAACATCTTTTTGAACAAAGCATGTCCAGACGCCCACGAGCGTGGGACACTGATCTACGTGGACGACATCCTTTTGAGACAGCCGACACTGGACTCTCATTTGGCTGAGATCGACCACGTCCTCAATCAGCTAACGACTGCTGGTGCTAAAATCTCACTGTCGAAATGCCAGTGGTGCAGAACCAAGGTGGATTACGTTGGCCTCCTAGTAGGCCCGGACGGAATACAACCACAGTTGACTCGCACCCAAGGCCTGGACAACCTCAAAGTCCCAACCAATCTCAAGGAACTGCAGAGTTTCTTGGGAGTGTGTAATTACTCTCGCCAGTTCATAGAGCATTATGCGGACCTCGCAAAACCACTGACTGAACTCTTAAAGAGAGACGTTCCTTTTGTCTGGACTGATACACAGCAGCAGGCAATGAACGCTCTTAAAGACAGGCTCAAGCTAGCCCCATGTCTAGTCTACCCAGACTACAACAAAGAGTTCTACTTGGAAGTGGGCTTCTCACCTCACTGCATGAGTGCAGGTCTGTACCAAATACACGACAAAGACAAGCGTGTTGTGGCCTACGCCAGCAAAACGATGGCAGGCCCTGAATTACGGTATTCAGACTGTGAGAAGGCTCTATTGACCACTGTGTGGGCAGTGAAACATTTCTCCTGCTATATTGGTGGACAGAGGATCATTGTTGAGACACAACACCAGCCAGTAACGTTTCTGAACAGCCAACGCATCAGAGATGGTGTGGTGACAAACTCACGTGTTGCAACCTGGCTTATGGCACTTCAAAGTTTTAACCTAGACATCCGCTACGGTCAAAATAAGAAGTCACACTTGGGCACTGATTTGGCAATCTGCCAAGAATGTACACAGGATGTACCAGCCACCCAGCAGCCGGTTGTGAGTAAACCCTCAGCTGCTGAGGACCCAAATCACCACTTCTTTGATGGCAATATCTGTAAAGATATGGCAACATTGTACGTGGATGGATGTTCATTCCACCACGAGAAAGTCTGCAAAGCAGGTGTTGGAGGAGTTCTCCTCCAAGACCTGGAACAGGTCACATTTGGCTATAAATTAGGCTCTCAGTCTTCTCAGTACGCTGAGATAGCTGCAATCCTAATAGGCCTACAGATGGCAGTGGAACGCTCCATCCAGACGCTAGTCATCTGCACTGACTCTAACTATGCTCGATTGAGTTTCTTGTGTCATCTCGCTCTGTGGAAACAGAACGGTTTTCTCACAAGCAACAAAAAGGTGGTAAAACACAAAGAGCTTTTCATGACATGTGATCACTTGGTGACATCACATGATCTACAGATCTTCTGGAAGAAAGTTCCAGGACACTCCAGAGTCCCAGGCGATGACAAGCACTACAATGACCTTGCAGACTCCCTAGCCAAAGAAGGAGCCGTTGACGGACCCACGTGGTCCTTTGACCCCTCCTGGCTACTCAACACTCAGTCGTCACAAGCTACAACTGAGGTAATGGCAGTCACACGTGCACAAGCTGCAGCTAAACCTGCTGATAACACAGTTTCTGTGCGCCCAATGCTGACTGACCCAGACATCATCCAACTTCAGAAGTTGGATCCTGCAATTAACTCGATGATGCTGTATCTGACTGACCCAGACAAATACACTCCATCGAAAGACGAGCTGGATTCCAATCCAGACCTCAAAGTCCTCTTTCAGCTGCGAAAACAGCTAAAACTACTTAAAGGCATCCTAACTTTCGCTCATGGACGGACGTCCTCACCTGTGTTCGTGGTCCCCCATGACCACAGGGGGGTGATGTTAGTCCATGCACATGACCTTCCGTCCGCAGGACATAAGGGTGACAATGCCACGCTGAAAGCATTAAAACAAATTGCTTATTGGCCTGGAATGAAAAAGGATGTCAAGGACTACATAAAAGGGTGCCTGATCTGTGGCCAGTTTCAACCATCCAGACCACTTCACAGAGCACCACTGCATAGTAGAGGCATTGCATTTCCATGGTCGGACCTCCAGATTGACTGGGTCGGACCACTCACTAAGACCTCTAGAGGAAATAAATATTTTCTCACGGTAACCTGCGCGTTTACCAAATGGGTAGAATGTCTACCAGCCCCTAAT